AATAAAAAGGAAAAGAATCCAAAAGCAGAAAAAAAAATTCTCTGTACTAGTCAGAGTCAGTTTTTACAAGAATGCCCAGGCTCAGAGGATTCAGGTACCCGGCGGGAGGTGTAAATTTGGAGCCCTCACCGCTTCATCACCCCCCACGGCCTCCAGGAAACTATACCTCCTGCGACGGGTGGCTCTGGCACGGCTGAACACTGTACTGCTGGTGGCCCGGCCCCTGCTCCAGAGGCGACAGAGGCTGAAGGTGACAGGGTTTGGGGAGGCAGCTGGACTGGAGAGGCTTGGGGTGCAAGCCAGGCAGCCTCATCTGGAAATTAGCTGAGCTCCAATGTGCTCAGCATCTTAGCCCAGCCTCCCAGGGCCCAGGGCTCAGAGGCCATTGATCCCTGAACTCTTCCCTTTCCTTCTGTCCTGCCAGGGGCCCTAGGAGGCTACTGCCTCCTCCTTTGTCCCCCCATGGCCCCTTCTTCCCTGGGGTTCCTTCCACCCCCTCCAGCCCTCTGTGGGCCCCTGCTCTTCCCCGTTGCCCAATGACTCCAATTTGAGGGCCATAAAGCTGCTCAAAGGTCAGTACCACACGCTGCCCCCCTCCCTGGCCTCTCCCTGGCTGGACTTTGTCCCCTGGGACCATTTCTTCCCTTCTTCCTGCCCTCTTCCCGGTACCCTGGCAGACGGGCAGTGACGTCCACAGCACAGAGGCCAGTGAGAGCTCAGAAGGCTGAGGCAAGCCAGGGGCGGACTGCGTGCCAGGCAGCTGCCCCTCTGGGCCTGTTGTTCTTTTGAGGGTATCAGGGTCCCTCAGGGGCCCCAGGGAATAGCTCACCTGCTGAGCTGGGGAGCAGCTGCCGGGAGGCCCTAGGAGGGTCTCGACGAGGGGCGTTGGCTTCTCCTGCATCTCCCCACAGCCTGGGCATTGGTGTGGCAGGCGCCGCAGCAGGGTTTCAGGGAGCGTGCCAAGCATGGTGAGTGGCCTGCAAGTGGGGAGGGGGTTCTGCATGGGGTCTGAACCCCCATACCTGGCACAGCTTGGGGGAAGGCAGGACCTAAGGGTGTCGCCAGGGGCCTTGACCCTCATGTGTCCCCTGAGGGGAAGAAGGTACCTGTGGCTCTCCCGTGCCCTTTATCCCTAGAAGGGTTCTTGGGGCGCTGCTCATTTAAGTACCCACGCCCAGAGTCCTTGGTCTTCGGGGAGGATATTTTTATCATCCAGGGAGTGAGGGAGAACAGTGGGTCCCTCTCTCACCTCCTGGTAACTTGTCCACCAGGAGCTGGAGCGCTTGGAGATCCCAGCTGAGCTGGCAGCCATGCTGAGGACAGCAGGAGGTGAGTCTCTCTGCTACCTCGCACCAGCTCCCTGCAGATGAGGGCTGGTGGCCGATGAGGACGGTAGGGTTGGTTCTATTTCAGCCATCACACTGGGTGTCTCCTTCCCAGGCCACCAGGATGCTCTGGCTGGAATCATCACCGAGACTCTGCCCCCTGAGGTTCCCGCCCGGCCCAGCCAAACCCTCCCACCGGACATTGACCTGTTCCCCTTCTCCAGCTTCATCTCCACCAGTTTTCAGGTGGGCCCCAGGCCTGTGCGCCTCCTGCTGGCCCAGCGTTCCCCAGGGTTAGCACCTGCCAGGCAGGAAGAAGCCTGGCCTCTCCCTTTCTCCACCTTCTGCAGCTATCCGGGCTGTGGATAAAGCCACACTGCTCTGAAAATATCCATTAAACCGAAATAGCCCATTGTGGACGTTATTCAGTCTGTGAGGCCACACCTTTGTATACCTGTGCTATTGTCTTGCTGTTGAAGTTAACTCGTTAAAGAATGTTTGACACGGAAACTGTCCAGGCTATGGTGTGAAATACAAAAGCAGAATTCAAAACTGCACGTATAGTGGAATCCCAGTAATCCTAACACGCTAGACAGGTGAGGCAGGAGGGTCACAAATTCGAGCCCAGCCTGGGCAACTTAGTGACTTAGCAAGACTGTTTTAAATCTTAAAAAAAAAAAAAGGCTGGGGGTGTCACTCAGTGTAAAGGCCCTGAGTTCAATCCCTAGTACCAAAAAAACCCACACAGAAGAAAAAAAATGGGGGCGGGGATGCGTGCTAGGATGTATGTCTCTATGCATAGAAATTAAGACAAGTGCTGGGCATGGTGGCGCAAGCCTGAAATCCTAGCATTTGTAAGGCTGAGGAATGGGGATCACTTAGATTTGAAGCCAGCCTGGACAATATATAGTGAGTTCAAGGCCAGCCTCCACTACAAAAGTAAGTCTTTAAAAAACCAACCAACCAACACACAAGAATGAGAGGCTAGAATGCTATGATTTATCTCTGGCTGTAGAATGTTAATAGTCATTTTAATTTTTAATTTTCTGCTTTCTGCAAGTATGGTTATCAATCTCCTAATCAAAGAACTACTGAAATGCATTTCTCTGCCTGGCATGGTGGCGCATGCCTGTAATCCCAGCACTCGGGAGGCTGAGGCAGAAGGATCGCTGTGAGTTCGAGACCAGCCTGGGCTACATAGTGAGTTCCAGGTCAGTCTCAACTACATAGTGAGACCCTGTCTCAAAAAACCAAAACAAAACAAAACCAAAAAAAATGCATTTCTGAGCTGGGTGTGGTGGCTCATGCCTGTAATCTCAGCACTCAGGAGGCTGAGACTGGAGAATTGCAACAGGCTTGAGACCAGCCTGGGCTACATAGTGAGTTCAAGGCCAGCTTGAACTACATTGCAAGACCTTGTCTCAAAAAACCAGAATCAAAAGAGACCAGCAGAAAGACACATTTTTAAGATGACTTTATGCCCCAGCCCTCCCCTTCCCCCAGGGTGCTTTGTGGGGGTCCCCCAGGGCTGTCCTTCCCCTGGTCAGCACAGAGGACAAGCTCTGTGTCACTCTTCTCTGCAGGAGCCCTCCCTGCCCAGCCCAGGGCAGCCTCTGGCCAGGCCACTGACTCGGCTGGAGGGAGAGAACCCTCAGCACGCCCTGGCCATCAACAAGGTGGTGAGTGACACATCCGGGAGGGGACGGGGCCCTCACAGGGGCCGGACCGGCACGTGAGAGTCCTGCACTTCCGGCCCTGGCCTGGCTTTGTGTCACAGATGCTGCGGCTGCTGGGAGATGGATCCCTGCAGTCCTGGCAGGAGCAGACCATGGGCACCTACCTGGTGCAGCAGGGGCAGCGCCAGCCAGGGCTTCGGGACGAGCTCTTCAGCCAGCTCGTGGCCCAGCTCTGGCACAACCCAGATGAGCAGCAGAGCCAGCGAGGCTGGGCCCTCATGGCCATCCTGCTCAGCGCCTTCCCCCCAACACCTGCGCTGCAGAAGCCACTGCTCAAGTAATGGGACCGGCCAGGGGGCCCGGTGGGTGGGGCTCGTGTCTTCCCCCACCTCACGGCAGCTCTGTGCCGTCCCCACAGATTTGTGTCTGACCAGGCCCCCCAGGGCATGGCGGCCCTGTGCCAGCACAAGCTGCTGGGGGCCCTGGAGCAGACCCCGCTGGCCCCAGGGTTTGCCCGAGCCCACCCTCCCACCCAGCTGGAATGGAAGGCCGGATGGCGGCGGGGCCGCATGGCGCTAGACGTTTACACCTTCAACGGTGATGCCCACCTCCCTGAAAGGCCTCCCAGGCCCACTGCGGGGCCAGGCTTGCCCCTACCCTCCCTGGCTCCTTCCTGCCTCTGCCTTCCTGCTGCCTGCTTCTATGACTGTGTTCTCCTTTCTGTCCTGTGTCTGGGACCCCCTTGCCGTCAGGTGCACCCCGCTGTCCCTTACCCTGCCCCACTCCCTCTCCCGCAGAGGAGTCCTACTCAGCAGAAGTGGGATCCTGGACCACAGGGGAGCAACTTGCTGGATGGATCCTACAGAGCAGGTACGGGAATCTGGGATGGGACAGTGCAGCCAGAGCCTCCTGCCCTACCACACACCTCCTGGGCTCCAGGGACGAGGCTGCTCTCTCAGGGGCAGCAGGTGTTTTCAGGTAAGTGGGGTGGATTCCAGATGGAGAGCAAAGAGCAGTCTAAACAAGGGGCCGAGTGAGAGCCCGCAGTCCAGATTTCTAACAAGGAGAGCGGTAGAGCTGCGGGGCGACCAGGTAGGTCAGGAGGTGCTGGCTGAGTGGCCCCAGGGCCTCACAGACAGTACCGAGAGCTGCAGGGTCCCTCCCCTTGGCTCACCGTCCACTCCTTGTCCTGGCAGGGCGGTCCTCTGCCTCACAGACCACAGTCCTATTGCCCCTTCTTGTCCCGTGCAGAGGCCTGGAGGTGCCTCCCCGTGGCTGGTCCGTGTCACTGCACTCTGGTGATGCATGGCAAGACTTGGCTGGTTGCGACTTTGTGCTGGACCTGATCGGCCGGACCGAGGATCTGGGGGACCCGGCTGTTCCACGCAGCTACCCCATTACCCCCCTTGGCTTGTAGGTGCCACCCAGCGCCCCTGTCCCCCGCTCGCCCCTGCCCCAGTGGTCACCCTTGCAGCCTTCCTATCACCCTGTGGTGAACAGATGCTGCTGCAGCACCCCTCGGTCTCCTCCTACCTCGTCCCCACAGCAGCCTCTGCCTCTTATCCCCGCCTGGGCTCCCCTCGCAGACTCGGCAGCCCCCTCAGCCAGACCTACTCTCTCCTCCAGAGCCAAGGACATCCCGCCCGCCCCTGGTGTGCAGGCACCCTCTCTGCCCCCAGGCTTTCTTCCGGGTCCAGCCCCAACACTGTCCAGCAGAGCCCACACAGGTGAGCCACACTGAGGCTGGCAGAGTGACCGGAATGGGTGTAGGCAGCCCCACCTCCAGCAGGATCCACCAACCTGTCCCTGCCCCACAGGGGAGGCCCGGACATCAGGGAGTTTGAATGGCTTCCTAGACCACCTCTTTGAGCCTGTTCTCACTGCGGGCTTCAGTGTAAGTATTCCCCACACACCTCCAGCCTATCCTGCCCCCTGGGCCTCTGCTGCCCCTTCCAAGTTTATCAAGCTCTACCTCTGACGGTGTGACCACGTCCCTTCAGGATCTGGAGCAAGGCTGGGCGTTGAGCAGCCGCATGAAGGGAGGGGGCTCCATTGGGCCTGGGCAGCAGGGCTACCACATGGGTGAGTTTGGGGCTGGTTCTGGCCCAGGGCCCCCAGGTGCAGCAACAGAGCTGGGCGTGATCTGGGTCCCTTCAGGCAGCCAGCACCCTGGGGCAGTGATCTTGCCTTTGCTCAGGGTTGCAGGGAGGTGACCTGGGTAGGGACTCACCTGTCCCCTTAGTGTACCCAGGGATGATGCAGATGCCTGGATACCAGCCCACCATGATGTCTGCACCCATGCCTATGATGCCAGCGATGGGCACAGTCCCTGCCGTGCCAGGTAGGGCTGAGCTGAGGTCACCAGGATCCCTTCTCAGGAGAGTAGCTGCCAGCCCTGACACTAGGAGGAGGGCCCTAGCAGGAGTCCATGGGCACTGGGCACGGAGGGCCTCGAGTGTGACCATGGTGCCCATCTGCTCCGACCCACCTGCTGCCCTCACAGCCATGATGGTGCCGCCGCAGCCACAGCCCCTGCTTCCCAGCCTGGACACAAGGGAGCTGGCGGTGCAGCAGCAGAATTTCATCAACCAACAGGCGCTGCTCCTGGTGAGGGCAGCAGGGCCCCGGGGCTGCTGGGGAGGGCCAGGTTATGGTGCAGGGCCAGCCAGGGCTCTAACCTGGCCCACGGCCTATCCCCCATAGGCCCAGCAGATGACCAACCAGGCCATGAGCCTGTCCCTAGAGCAGCAGACTCAGCAACGCCAGCGCCAAGCCCTGGCTTCCATAGCCGCCCCCCCAGCGCCACCTGCTGCCCCCACAGCACCACCTGCTGCCTCCCCAGCGCCACCTGCTGCCTCCCCAGCTGTCACTCCCAAGCCCAAGAAGTCCCCTGTCCCCCAGGAGGAGCCAGAGCATGATTTGGAACCAGCGGGTGCCTGCTCAAGGGTAAAGAGCAGAGGCTATTTGGATGGTGGGACTTGGGGTGGGGATGGTAGGTACCAGGGCTACAGGGATGAGACAGGAGCTGGAATGTTGGGAGCAGGGGTGAGCGTGTGGCCGTGTGGCAGGCTTCACTTCTCCCTTCTACCAGGAGACCTCGGAGGGGGCTGAAGACAGGACCTGGCACCCCAAGAGCTTCCAGCAGAAAAGGGACTACTTCCAGAAGATGGGTGAGGGTACTTGGGGTGGCCTGGCCAGGGAAGGCTGCGTGTCACTGTGGCCCATCCGGGAGCCCAGACAGGCAGGCTAGAGGAGCTGCCAGGCATGTGTGGGTGACAGAAGACCATCTGGGGCATTTACAGGGCAGCAGCAGATCAAGGTGAAGGTGGTGAAGCCTCCAGCCAAGATCCAGATCCCCCAGGGGGAGGAGATGGAGGACGAAGAAGAGGAAACCAGCAAAGGTGCTGATGGGCAGGGGCCTCGGGGCTCTTGCACTCCTACACAGTGTTTAATAATCTGTCTCTGCTCTTCCCGTCAGTGCCGCCCCCTTCTCCGCCCCCAGTTGTGAAGAAGCCACTGAAACAAAATGGAACCAAAGCTGCAAAAGAGGCTGAGGCTGAGGCAGCTGAAGAGGCCAGGCCGGCCCGGGACCAGAGGCCCACAGTGAGCAGCTCCGACCCCACGTCCCCTCCGTCGGAGCCCAGCAGGGAAATTCGCAACATCATCCGCATGTACCAGAGCCGCCCTGGACCCATACCTTTGCCCGTGCAGCCCATCAGGTGGGCCCCAGGGGGAGGTGACCAGGGCCTTTGTTCCCCAGGGAATCACCCTGTGGACCTCGTGACCCCTTCATTCTCTCACAAGGCCTCACAAAAGTTTTCTTAAGAAAAATGACCCTAAGGACGAGGCTCTGGCCAAGCTGGGGATCAATGGTGCCTACTCACCCCCATCGGTGAGCCACTGTCTGTTCCCTCCAGGGGGAGGGCTCTAGCCCAGGGCTTTCAGGGCAACGTTGGCCTTGCCCTCTGCCTTCTCTGTGTCCCCCCAGACACTGGCCCTCAGCTTGGGGAAGGACCCTCCACCAGCTGTGGCTCCTCGACCCAGGACCCGGCCACGTCTAGAGCCCTCCATCTCCATCAGGGAGAAGCAGGTGCCCCTCCAGGACCTGTTTGGCATAACCCCACCCACTACCCCGGCACCCCCACCCCCACCAGCACCGCCTCTGCCTCTGCCTCTGCCTCTGCCTCTGCCTGAGGAACCCCGGACCCCTTCAGCAGAGCCTAGTGGTGAGGAACCCCATGTCTCCTACACAGCAGGCTTTGCTAGGGCGGGGGAAGGACTCCCAATAGCCTCTTGGGACTCAGGGCCCCAGCCATCTCCACATGGCTGAAGTCAGCTGCTTGCACTTCCGGACTTTGGAGCCCTGAAGCCTCAGCTTCCGCATTCCTGTCCAGGGCAGGGCCTGGGCACCCTGCAGCCTGCCTGGCACTGAGGGATTTTCACAGACTGGGTGTCACCCTCAAGTCACGCCTGACAACCCCATAGGGAATTTAGTGACCCTGACTGATGGGGTCAGGGACACCAGGGGAAATTTAGGACCAGAAATGGAGACAGGAGATGATGCTGAGGGCCGGAGTGACAGCCGGAGCTGGGCAAACCAGACAAGGATGAAGGTCTTCCCTGTCTGGACCTCACCCTTCCCGCTGTGGCATTCCCTAGCCTGAGGCTCTGTCCCCTTCCCCTACCAGCTTTGGTGGAGCCCATGGAGGACCAGAGGGTCTCCACCCAGCTACTCCTGCCCTCTGCCAGTGTGTGCTTCTCCTACACCAGTGTACCCTGGAAGTTGTTCCTAAGAAAGGAGGTAGGCATGCGGGTGGGGCCTGAGCCTCTTCGTGCTTGCAGTGAGGAGGCTGGCTGTAGAGATCCCAAACTGGGACGCCTGCATCTCCCGTCATGACCCACGTTTCCAAGGCTCATTTCTGGGTCTGGGAGGGCAGGGGTGGGCCAGGTAAGACTCAGCTTTCCCATGCCTGCTCCAGGTGTTCTACCCCCGGGAGAACTTCAGCCATCCGTACTGCCTCCGGCTACTCTGTGAACAGGTAAGAGCCTGGTCCACCTGCCAACCTGCCACATCTGTATCCTAGGGCCCTGCAGCCTAACACCTGGGCCAGGGTACATCTGTGTGAGGGCATGGTAGCAGCCAGCATTTCCAGGGCACTCTGTGCCAAGCCCTGCCTCCTAGAGTCCCTAGGAAGCAGGGACCCTGATTAACTGCGTTTTACAAAGTGCATACGGTACATAGGCCAAGCACACAGTAGGGACTTCACAAATGGTTCCCTGCCACCTCTGGATGCTCCCAGGACTCGGTCTCTGCCCCTCCGAATTCCACCGTGGTCCTCACCCTCCCCACCATAGTCCGCTTCAGGGCAGCTTATCTCAGCTGACCCAACAGTAGTGGGGAGAAGGAAAGGAGTGCAGGTGCCGTGCGGGAGGGACAGGGGAGACATCATGGGCAGGCTTGGGAGCCCTCTCTGCCTGCTCCCAAGCTGTGTCTCCCGGGAGCACTATAGGGTGAAGGCAACCTCTACTGGGCCCTCCAGCCTCTCCTCTACGCAGCTCTGGGCCGGGCTCTAGCCTCAGGACCTGGTAGTGACCACCTTGCTCTGTCCCCAGATTCTACGGGACACCTTTGCTGAGTCCTGTGTCCGGATCTCCCAGGATGAGCGGCACAAAATGAAAGACCTGCTGGGTATGTGTCCCAGAACCCTGGAGTCAGGGAGCAGGAGTTCCGGGCCTGCTCTGAGGGAGGAAATGGCCACAGCAGCACTCTAAGGACAGTCTGGGCCCCTCCTGCCCACAGGAGACCTTGGGGTGGGCCTGGACTCACTCGCCACCACTGAAGATAACATCAAGAAGCGCATCGTGGTGGCCGCTCGGAACAACTGGGCCAATTACTTCTCCCGCATCTTCCCCGTTTCGGTCAGTGATGCCGGGGTAGGGCGTGGAGCGTTGAGCTTTGAGTCTGGGCCCCCAGCACACAGGCCAGGGCTGTCAGCAGGCAGGGTGAGAGCCGGGGCTGCAGAAGACAAGACAGCCACCGGCCCTTTGCAGCTCCTGGCGTCTTGGCAGTGCCAGGACCCTGGAGCCTGGCCCTGAGCCACCCACCTTCCTCGCAGGGAGACAGAGGTAGCGATGTGCAGCTGCTGGGCGTGTCTCACCGGGGGCTAAGACTGCTCAGTGTTACCCAGGGCCCCAGCTTCCACCTGGACCAGCTGAAGACACTCTGCTCCTACAGGTGAGCTGGCTCAGAGCCAGGGCTGGGGGCAGGGCGGCAGGACGGCCGGCTCACGCCCCACCCTGTGCCCAGTTTTGCCGAGGTGCTGGGTGTGGAGTGCCGGGGCGGCTCCACCCTGGAGCTGTCGCTGAAGAGTGAGCAGCTGGTGCTGTACACGGCCCAGGCGAGGGCGATCAAGGCCATGGTGGAGCAGTTCCTGAGTGAGCTCAGGAAGGCAAGCGCAGGCCGGGTGGGGGCAAGGGAGACAGTGGGCAGCCGCTCCCAGCTATGGCTCTCCCTGCCTGGGTCCCTGGGTGGAGCTGGGAGTTTAGGCAGGGTCCCTGAAGCCCCAGTGTGGAGCAGGAGGCCCATCGTGGTCTGGCAGTTGCTCTGGCCTGCTCACCCTCCTGCCTGCAGGACTCTGGCTTCGTCATCGCCCTGCGCAGCTACATCACCGATGACCACAGCCTCCTCAGCTTTCATCGTGGGGAACTAATCAAGCTGTTGCCAGTGGCCACCCTAGAGCCAGGTATCCCCAGGGCCAGCTGAAGGGCCTGGCGCAGGGGGGCGCTGCACTGGCAGAGCCTGCCGAGGGGTGGAGGGGCCAGGTGGGTGAGCCACTGTCTTGGGATGCCTTCTAGGCTGGCAGTTTGGCTCTGCTGGGGGCCGATCCGGACTCTTTCCTGCTGACCTGGTGCAGCCAGCTGCTGCTCCTGATTACTCCTTCTCATCAGAGCTGAAGAGCAGCTGGCAGCGCAAGAGTCAGCCACAGGTTGCAGAGCCAGGGCCGGCTCAGTGGGACAGGGCCGCGGAGGTGAGGAAGACAGGGGAGGCGGAGGCCAGGCGTAACTAGAAGTTGAGGAAGGAGAGAGTGTGATTGTCCCGAGGCTTGCCCACCTCCCGTGGCCTCCTGTGGCCTGGTGTGTTGCTGTCCTTTCTGCCTGCTCTTGAGTTTCTTGCCTTGTCTCACCAGCGATATTGTCAGCCCCTGTGGAGAAGGGCTGGGCCCTGTGCCCCTCTGCTCCCACAGCCTACTTAGGTCAGTGCTGCCAATAAACAGCCTTGATTTTCCTGACTTCTGGTCTTATTCCTCTCTGGTCTGGCAGGGATGGGGATGGCGCAGTGGGGCCTCGAGGCAGAGCCTCGAGGACAGGCCGTGGGCCCTCGGGTGGGACTAGATTTCCTGTGCTCCCAGAACCCCACCCACCCTCAGAGCCAGACTCACAGTGACGATTCAGAAGCCACCAGCCTGCCCTCCTCCATGGCCTGCACCTCCCTGTCCACTGATTCCCACAACTACACCATGCAGGAATTTGCACTGTGCTACTTCCGGAAGCCTCTCACCTTGTGAGTACCCTGAGCCAACTCGTGTGTGTGTCCATCCTCAGCCTTCCCAACACAAACCCCCTGCTCAGGGCCCCCAGGCTAGTGCTGTCGCCATCCCCTCCAAGGCCTGGAACAAGGGCAGGAGGCCTGAGGGAGCAAGGCTGTCCCCTCTGACCCCACAGGCTGGACCTGACAGCAGGAGGCGCCAGGGCGAAGGCTATGGCCAGCCTAGTGCAGTGCAGCAAGGTGAGGGGTGGGAGTGGGGGAGTCCGACCCACAGATCTGCCCTCTGACTCCCATGACCCCAGACCCACAGCCCAGCCTCTTTGGCCACAGGCTCCCATCCAGGAATCACTCATCCACCTCAGTGACGAGAACATGAGCAAGAGGGCTGTGGCGGGATTTGAGGGTGAGTAGCATGCGCCTCCTAGGTCTCCGCACCAGGGAGCCTTGGACCCAGGTCCCTGGTCCCCTTCTCTCCTTGAGCTCTGCCTGGCTCTGCCCCAGCCTGCAACTCAGGGAAGCTTGCTGGAGGCTCCTGGACCCCCACAGCCCTCCCCTACCTGTCGTCCCACCCATGGGCTGAGTTGTGTGGAGACGGGCTGGAAGGCAATGACTGGATGTAGCAGACACTGTGTGTTCGTAGACTCGGCATCAACAAAATATTCCTGAGCCTGTTTGTTCTCGGTAAAGCTGGAGTCAGCTGCCTAGCCTGGTGCACGTACCTTTGGAGAGTAAGACATCAGACAGCAGGTGAAGGGCTGTACAGCACAAGTGTGTCAGGCCAGGCTCCAGCCCAGCTCACCGAGCTCTCTATCCTACCTGTAGCTCTAATGCAGTTTATGGGGGACCAGTCTAAGCCCCGTGGCAAGGACGAGATGGCCCTGCTGTATGAGCTGCTGAAGGTAAGCAAAGGCGGGTGTGCTGCAAGCTGGGGCAGGGAGCCCCGAGTGCCGCTTCCTTCTCCGCTCCTGCCTGGACCTGAACGGGATCCCCCCCCACCCCCCATCCCTTGGTTACTGTTTTTTGTTTGTTTATGGTTCTGCTTTTTGTTTTGAGTCAGGGTCTTGCTTTGTAGTTTGGGCTGGCCTTGAACGCAAGGTAATCTGCCTCAGCCTCCCAAATGCTGGGATTCTGGGCCTGCGTCACCGCACTTGCAGTTACCGTTCCTTTTAATCACACAGTACTTACTGAGCACTTACTACACGCTGCGGGGTGGTGGCTGTGAAGCCAATAGGTGAAATCCCTGCAACGTACACTCTCACAGGAGGAGGCAGTGACGCGTCTGGGAGGGAAGAGTCCTCGGGAGAACACTAAGGCAGGGGAAGGGCCGCTGCCCGGAGAAGGCTGTGAGCGATCTGCAAAGCAGTGAGCCACATGCACATGGGGACAGGGCCTTGGACAAGGGAAGGGCAAAGGGGACAGGATGAGAGCAAGATTCAGCTCCAGCAAGGCCAGCTTCGAGGACAAGGACAGTGAAGGGACAGTGGTCTGGCCCACAGCAGGCCTTGTGGAATAAATGTAAAAACCTTGATTTTTCAGTGTTGAAGAGAGGTTGTGAAGAAAGACATGGTCTATTATCTCCCAGAATCACTGTAGCTGTTGAGATTCTAGGGGGTGTTGAAGGCAAATGGAATGCCTGTAATCCCAGCACTCAAGAGGCTGAGGCAGGAGGATTGCCGTGAGTTCAAGACCAGCCTGGGTTACATATCGAGCTGTCTCAAAAAATAGTAAATAATAATCATTAATAAAGGCAAATGGAAATTACTGCAATGTCTCCTGGTAAGAGAGGGTACAGCCTGGCCCAAAGCAGCAGCCAAGGGGAGAAGCAGGAAGATTCAGAGCCCGAAGGGCTGGCTGTGGGTGTGAGGGCCCAAAGCAGTGACTGTGGTGAGGAAGAGCAGGTCTGGGGTGGTGACAGAGTCTGTTTTGGCTGTGTGAGGTCTGAAGCCACAGACTCCTGAGTGGAGAAGGCTGAGGTTCAAGGAGGCAGGAGGCAGGAACCAGAGTCCTCGAGGACAGCTGAGAAACCGGAGTGCAGGGAGAGGTGCCAAGGCCCTGCAGTTTCTGGAAGGTGAGGAGGCAAGGTGGAGCTGGCACAGATGACTGAGAGACCAGAGAAATGGGCGAAGCAAGTGACTCAAAGAGAGTGGTGCTGGACATGGTGATCCCAGCGCTCTGGGAGGCTGAAGCAGGACAACTGCTAGTTTAAGCTTAGCATGAAGCAACTGAGCAATGTAGTGCGATTCTGTCCCAATAAAACAAACGCTGGGGATGTGGCTCAGGGCAAAGGCCCTGAGGTTGATCCCCAGTGCCACCCACCCCCAAGAAAGAGTGGCCTGGGCCCAGGCGTGACTCAGTGGTAGAGCATGGGCTGAGCACTTGCGAGGCCCTGGGTTGTATTCCCAGCACTCCAAAAGAGGAAAGAAACACGACTAGTTGTACAGATGGATAGACCAAGTAGCAGCCGCTGCTTGTCACCTTGTCTGGACCCTAGCCCACAGCCATTAAGGATTTCTCCCGGACTTCAGACCCCATGCCGCCCTCAGCCTTGCTGCCTTACCCCTGCCCTGCCCACCTGCCCTTCCTGTCCCCACAGCTGTGCCAGGAGGAGGAGCTCAGGGACGAGATGTACTGCCAGGTCATCAAGCAGGTCACGGGACACCCCCAGCCGTGAGTAGGGCTGGTGGGGTGGGCGCCTCTGGGTCCTGCTTGGCACAGTGCCAGCCTGAGCCCAGGCTCTTTGCCCCACAGAGAGCACTGTGCCCGGGGCTGGAGCCTCCTCAGCCTCTTCACAGGCTTCTTCCCCCCGTCCACCACACTGATGCCCTACGTGACCAAGTTCCTGCAGGACTCGGGGCCCAGCCAAGGTGCCGTGGGAGGGGAAGGGAGATGGAGATTCCCGGGCTTGGAGCTCGCTGGCTGGGGAGGGGCTGGGACAGGCTCGTGACCTCCTCACCCCGGTTTCTCTGCAGAGCTGGCCCAGAAAAGCCAGCAGCACCTCCAGAGCACAGCCAAATACGGGGGGCGCCAGCGACTGCCCCTGCCGGGCGAAATGCGAGCTTTTCTGGTATTGGGGGTGGAAGGATGGGCCTGCTGGGGCTCCCCAGGGCAGCTGTGATTTGACTGTCAGTGACTGACCGTACAACCCACCTGGACAGAAGGGGCAAGCAGTCCGCCAGCTTGTGATCCACCTGCCCGGGGGCGTGAACTACAGGACGAACTTGCAGACCTTCACGGTGAGGGAAGGGGCCGAGGAAGGAGGCCTGGGCCTCAGCTCTGGGCCTTCCAGCCTCCCACCCACACTCCTTCCCCCCGTCCACATGCCCAGGTGGCAGGAGAAGTGCTGGAGGAGATGTGTGGGAAGATGGGCATCACAGACCCCCAGGAAATACAGGAATTTGCCCTCTTCCTCATCATAGGAGAAGGTGAGCCCAGGCAGAGGGAGGGAAGGGAGCCGGGCTGTTTCCTGATCACCAGGGGGCAGCATCAGTGCCGGGCCAGCAGGGCGGCCCTGGGCACATGCTGGCCTGGACTCCTTGTGCAGGTGAGCTGGTTCGGCCCCTGTGGCCCCACGAGTACCTCGGCACTGTGATGCTGGGCCAGGACACAAGCCTGCACAGTCGGCGGCTCAGCTGGGAGAGCCCGCTGCACTTCGACCACCCCATCTACATTGGGACCCACTATGGCCAGGTCAGCCCTGCTCCTCGGCTGCCATGCAGAGCCCCAGCAGCTTGAGGGTAGAGTTCCTGCCAGGGCCACTTCTGCCCACCTCCGAATGGCATATTCTGTGGCAGCTGAAGGGCTGGCTGGGGACTTGGGGGCACAGCTGCCGCCTTACGGCCCTCCCTCCTCAGGTGCTGCGGGACTACCTACAGGGGAAGCTGATGGCCCACCCCCAGGCAGAGGCTCAGCTTGCCCAGCTGGCTGCCCTCCAGCACCTGGGCAGGGCCAGCAAGAGCTCCCCCTCAGAGTACGTGAGCGTGGGCACACCTCCTGTCGTGCCTCTTCCCCCTGGGCACCACCCCCACTCCCTCCTCCAAGGCCAGGCCCCTCCACTTAACCCTTCCTGGCCCTGCTAAGACTGGCCGGGAGCAGTGGGTACCTGTCCTCTCCACACCACTCCAAGCTCCTCTGGGCAGGGTGCTCACCTTGTTCCTATGTGGGTCTTAGTCTTAGCCACAGTGGGCACTTGTTCAGTTACCTGGCACCGCGTGCTGGTCCATGGTCCCAGGCCTAACTAAGCCAGACTGTGTATACTAGGCAAGACCTGCTGGGTTACATACCGAAGACACTGCAATGGCAGGTGAACACGGCCACCATAGAGAGTCTGATGAGCCAGGAGCTGAGGCGGCTGCAAGGACACAGCTCTCAAGAAGCAAAGATCAGCTTCATTGGTGGGTCTGGGAAAGGGGGCTGCATGTCCAGGAGGGAAGGGCCAAGGGTAGAGAGGCAAGGTGGCTTCTAGGCCTGCCTGTCCCTCACCTGCCCTAGGAACACAGGGCTCATGTTCGGGCCTCCTCTATCCCCAGAGGCTACACGCCAGCTGCCTCTCTTTGGCTACACTGTGTACGTGGTGCTGCGAGTGAGCAAGCTGGTGCTTCCTGGACCCGCCCTCTTGGGGCTCAATCGCCAGCACCTTGTCCTCATGGACCCCACTTCCCAGGTGGGCAAAGTTCCTGCCCCAGTGCTGTCCTGGGAACCCTCGGGCCATTCCTCTTGCACCGTATGTTGACCCCCAACCCCAGAAGAACCAAGCTCTGCCCCTAGAAAATGTCTCTGCTGCCCCTAGACAACGTGCTGCTCCATAGCCCTGAAGGACCTGCAGCGGGTCCACCTGCTGAGCCCACTGGAGGACAACGGGCCCCCTGGACTGGAACTCAACTATGGCTTGGCCAGCAATCCCCAGACCATCTGGTTGGAGCTACCACAGGTGAATGGCCAGGGCTTCTGATGCCGTCAGGAAGGATGGTATGAGTGCCTCCTCCCAGCCCTGGCACGTAGCAGGAACCCAGGCTCAGGGCGGAGCCACAGCTCTGGGGCAGTGGGCAGGGCAGTGGTGGGGACTGACGGGGAGTCCAGTGCTGACAGGTCTCTCTCCAAGCAGGCCCAGGAGTTATACCGCACCATCATCTTCCTGCTGGATGGCAACACGTCTTCCACTCAGTGGCCCCAGTAGCCCCAGGGGCCCGGCCTCCATTGAGGGCCAGACCTCTACCCTAGCCCAGGTCCCACCTGGACCCTCTGCCTTGGGTGCCAGTAGGTTATTTTTGGTTTGGACCTCACCTGGCTCTGCTCTGAAATCTGCCACAGAAAAACCCGGCTGGCCCAAGTGGAGGCTATGGGGCAGGGCGTGCCATAGTGACTTCAGATGGGCCAAAAAGTAGCCCCACTCCCTCTGGGGTGGGCCAGGCCCATGTAGGGCTTCAGGAACCTGGCTTGGACATCTCATGTTGGCCAGCCTGGGGGAGATGTCCACCTGGCCCCAAGGACCCACCCAGGCTCAGTGTCAGCCCGAGCTCAGGGATGGAAGAAGCTGCTGAGGAAATAAAACTCCCACATAAACTCCACATGTGTGTTGGGCAAACAATATTTTATTCCTTTTGTAAACATCAGTCAGGCCTGCATCTGAGACAGGCATGGGGCCTATCAGCCAGCCCTCTTCCCACCAGCTCTGCATCTGAGGCAAAGCTGGCATCTTAAAGGAAGAGGGTGAGCAGAGGCCCTGAGCAGGCCCCATACCTTAGACAGGTGGGCCTTGCCCCTGGCTAAGAATTTGTTGAGTATGAGATGGGAGGGCCACTTCTGCCCTGCCCCTGCTGGCAGCCACACCACCTGCCACCTTCTAACCTGGGAATCTGACCCAGAAAACCCAGCCATGAGGGCTAGGGGAGACAAGAAGACACTGAAGAAGAACCACAGGCTGTGCAAGCAGGAAGGTGGGCTGACCCCTGGCCTCCGACTTGACTTCGGAAGCACCTGGAACCACTTCCAAAGTGAGCTATGGCTAGCGGGGGAAGGACCCTGAGAAAGATGGTGCCCCTGGCACCAGCAGGCCTGCACAGCCCCCTACTTCTGAGCAAGGCCTAGGCTGGAAGGGCCACTTGCCCTGCCCCTGCTGGCAGCCACACCACCTGCCACCTTCTAACCTGGGGATCTGACCCAGAAAACCCAGCCATGAGGGCTAGGGGAGACAAGAAGACACTGAAGAAGAACCACAGGCTGTGCAAGCAGGAAGGTGGGCTGACCCCTGGCCTCCGACTTGACTTCGGAAGCACCTGGAACCACTTCCAAAGTGAGCTATGGCTAGCGGGGGAAGGACCCTGAGAAAGATGGTGCCCCTGGCACCAGCAGGCCTGCACAGCCCCCTACTTCTGAGCAAGGCCTAGGCTGGCTCATGAGTCTGGGGAGGTGGCCAGCTCTGTGAGGCCAGCAGTGGGTCATCTCTGTAGGCCACACAAGTTGTGCCAGTCCGCTTCACTCTCGCACCTCACACAGCCATGGAAAAACTGCTTGATGAGGCTCTGGGCTTCTTCCCTCACTGTGGATTCAGAGCAGGTGGACATGAAGAGGTAAGGGCCAGTGTCTGCCCTGCAGACCCCCAAAGCCTCCGGGCCTTGGCCATGCTGGCACTTACCACTCCTTCCAGGAGAGGTCTTCTGAGTCAGCAAGTGTGAAAGGTGGCGGGCGAAGCCTTTAAACAGCTCCTAGAAGGCAGAGAAAGGACAGACAGCAAGAGCAGGAGCCACCACAGCCATGTCCAAGTGCACGGCAGGCCCAGGATAGCAGGAGTTAGACTTAGACTTCACCTGCTCTGCCCTGCTTTGGTCTGAGGTGCATGCTGTCCACCTCCCCTCATTGTACCCAGTTCCCTGGGGAGGGCAGAGCCCACCTGTTCACCCTACCTTGGATGCAAACTTGCCCTCCTTGTAGAAAGGGGTCAGGTACCTGACCACAACATCGGCAGCCTCCTTCAGGGAGATGCCAGGAGCTGAGAGTTGGCAGGGGTATTGGGCTATGGCATTCAACGTGCCCTGATCACTGGCTGAAGTGCTGCCCTTGCCCTCTGCTAAGATGGAGGGCTTGGCTGAGGTGCGAGGCCTCTTCTGAGCAGGGATCTCTGGGTTCTCCTAGACAGGGCCACAGTGGGGAGGGAGGGTGGTCACTTTCACTAGCTCTGCCTCTCCCTCTAGAAAACTATGCCTTAGCATCAGGCAGCTCCCTCCAGCCGGCCCATCTGCCCCTAGGGTGTGGAAAGAAATGATTTCCTCTGAATCCCTGACCAGGGAGAAGCAGCTCTTGACCTCTCCCACAGGCCACCTCCCTCCCCGCAATCTTGCCCTATGGTCTCATCCCTAGAGATACCTGCTGATGCCGCTTGCCTCTCTGTGTATCCTTTGCAGGATGGGGCAGTGCTTCCAGGATCCCCTGATCTCTGAGTGGGCAGGTGCTGGCCAGAGGGAAGAGCAGCATCAGAGTTCCAGGCCCAGCTGCTCCCTCAGCCCAGGCAGCCAGCAGAGCCCAGTGAGGCCCACTAGCAAAGGGTACACCGCTGCTGGATTCCGGACACATGGGATTCCATGACTATGCCTCACCTTGGCCGCTCCCCAGAACGCTCCTCTGTGTGAAGGGCAGTCATATGTCCCTGGGCTCCATCTTCCTCCTGTGTGTACTTCTCTGGGGCCATGAGAGGTCCCTGCACCCCCCCACAGGAGGGACTGATACCTTCTGCCCTTGGGGCCGAGGCAAGTGCAGGTGGATCTTCCACCTTCTGGCAGAAGAAGCGGGCGATACTCTGAGAATCCTTAGGAGCTGCTGCAGCTAGACGCTGCTGCTTCTTGTTGGTCCGGGCCTTGTCCATAGACCTGTCTCCAGAGGAGCATTTTATCCTCTTCTCTGGGGGCCAATAAGCAGTACCAGTAGGGGCCTCTCCACTTGGCCCAGGGAGGGGCTCACTTCTGTCCTCTTCCTGGAGAACACAGGGCTGGCTGGGGGGCTCCCGCTCACCTTCCCCTACAGACTGTGTCTGAGACTTTCCCATTAGCTCAGTGGCCGTCTGGAATGGGGAGGAGCCTTTGGGGAAGCCAGCTCCCACCCTCTTGGCTTTGAGCTGTGAGGAAGAAGAGGGAAGGTGCAGACCCTCAGGTTCCCCGAAGGTGCCAGCTGGCTGCTCCAGCGGTGGTGTGCTGGAGTGGAGCTCTCAGGAGGGAGGGGGGAGCTGGACAGGGGCCACTTGGGGGTCAGGCTCATAGGAGAAGAGACCAGGGCTGGAAAAGGCTCAGCTGGCAGACCAAAAGGGCTCCAGGGCCTTCTCTGGCACCCTAGGGCCAAGGCTGTGATACCAGGAGAGACCAAGAGGCTGTGCCCACCGGGGGACAAAGGAGAAGCCTCTCCCAGACCCAGGTTTGGGGTAGACGCCAGAACACCACTCACCGAGTACACATGGGAGGTTGGTAGGATGTCATACTCATCGGGCTCTGGGGGCTCCACCTGGGCACTGCTGCTCTTGGTGCCACCTCCCATGTCATACAGCTGCCCACCTTTGGAGGCTTTGTGGATCTCGGCCACCTGGGCAGGGTCAGACAGGGAGGCCACGGCACCCATGAGATCCTCCTGATAGCCCCAGTCTAAGTCCTCCTCTCCTCTGAGGCACAGGAAGGACACTGACAAGTCCCAGTCCTCCCGAGGGTAATGAGACATGTCCGCTGGCCAGGAAGCTGGCTCTACACTCAAATGGTTCCTGGAGCCAGAGGGCTAGCAGTCTTGGAGTATGGAGGGGCTGCCCTTTCCTACCCTGAGTCTGAGGTGTGCTGTCCCACCCGGGCCCACCTTCTTCAGCACGCTGGCCTTGTAGAGGTTGGCCATCTTGGCATTTCGGAACATCTCGTGCTCTAGCTCCACAGCCCTGGTGCGAAGGTCCACTCTGTGGGGAGGGATAAGCACGTATAACAGGACCTGAGCCCTCTCCCTGTAGACCTCAGCTGGATTTCCTCCAGGACTGTGAGGATGGACACAGGGATTGACTAGGCCTCTTTGGGCTCACTGACCTTCAGCAGCAGCCACTGACAGCACCTAAGTGTGGCCATGCCAGCCCCCTGATGGGGCTGAAGGACCGGTGCTCCTGGAATAGGATAGGTCACAGTCTGGGGAGGAGAGGCCCAAGCAAGCCAGGGGGATGTAGGCTCTAGTAGGCTCCTCAGGAACAAAGGCTAAGAGAGCCCCCTGCCCTGGGTGGCCGGCCCTTGGTGCCCCCATCCCAGAGATCTTGGGACACTCACCCTTCAGTGGACCCTGCAGCCTGACAGTTACTGCTCAGAGCCTCCTCCAGAAGCCCCAGGCAGTGCTCTCGGGCCTACAGAGAAAAGGAACTCAGTCACCCAGCTCAGATCGGGGAGAGGTCCCGGCAGCAGGTGAAGAGCTGCTCTTTTCTTACCTTCACAGTAAGCCTGGGGATCTTCCTGCTAGAAGCTTCTTTCAGGGGACAGTCCTCATCTGGGGAGAGGAGGAATGGGTCCTTCCACTTGACTTCCTGCCTTCTGGAGTCCCCCAACTCCCCAGTGAGGCATCTACCATCCACACCCTGGGCGTGGCCCACAAGTTCCTGGAAACACTTCTGTACCAACCTGGGGGTATGAATTCTTCTATCTTGGGGTCTTTGCCCTGAAAGATGGCATGAAGGGCCCATGAGGCAGCATGTCCTGCTGGACAGCTTCCACCCAGCTCCAGGGAAGGGGCTGAGAAGGCGTGAGCAGGGGACCCGTGGGACCCTGCATGGGTTGCTGATCTGCTGAACCCTCTGCCCCTTCACCTTGCGCAGACTCATCTGCTTCTGATAGAAGAGACTCCACTCTCGCTTGTGAGCCTCATCTCTGCCCTCGTCGCCACTGCCTCCAGAGCCTTCATCATACCTGGGGGACAGGCTGGGTGTGAGCAGCCCCAGGCTGAGGCTCTGCCCTCCCCACTCCTGCATTTAGAACAGTGATGTCCACAGCACCCTGACAGCTCAGGACAAGGTCCAAACCTCAGCACGGCCCATGGGACTGCATGTAGCACTGTGCCACCTGGGGTCGGGCTTTAGCACCAGAATGACAGACATGGTCTCATGGCCCCTCACCTGCTGAATCCCCCATAGCCCCTGCGGCCTCCCTCATACAGCTCAGGGTCGAAGCCGTTTCCCTGTGAGGGCCTGATGCAGGTCTTGCTCCAGCTGCTGCTGTGCTCCAAGGCATCCAGCTGCCTCCGCACGGCCACAGGGTTCTGGCAGTGGTCACAGCCTTTGTTGCAGGCAGGTGGTGCATCCCCAAAATATTTGGCGATGGCAGAGTGGCGGCACCTGGAGCAGGTAATGCGGTAGAGGTGAGGGGTGAGGCACGCATCAGGGTTTATTCACCTAATCCCCAAGTGCTGGCCGAGTGTCACAACCTGGCACCATACTGGGCCTCTCACACCTCACCTCATGGGGTCTCACAAGGCATCATCTGATTTTGCCCATTGTACAGCTGGGGACAGCTTCGGTTACAGGATCCCCAAGGTCATATGATACATGGGGGTGACTAGGCCATGAGCACTACTCTGTCTGGTTACTCCTCTGGGTCCAGAGCTCCTGCCTTCCCTCTGTCCTCAGGCAGGGTTGCCCCCACAAGAGTTTAGGCTCTGGTGCAGATACTGGCTCTGCTACCGCGGTACCTCTGAAACCTACACATTCCTATCCCTGAAATGGGCAGGATAGTGCTGGTGCCACAGCTGCAGGAAGACTAAGGCAGTGCTCTGAAGGACATCGTAACAGTATTGTCCCTCACCCTTCTCTGGGTGACAGAGGGAGGGAACAGTGGGAGAAGGCCATACCCTGGCCTCAGGATGCTGCTCTGCTTGTCTCTTAATGGTCTGTTCCTTGCAGACCCTGACAAACCTCGATCCAGCTCACTTAGTCTGAGGCTGGGGGTGCTGCATATGGCATGAACTCCCCTCAAGAAACAGCAGCTAAACAAGCAGTTCTGAGCAGGCATTGTACCTAGTCACTGGAGGGCACATTCAGCCAGTGAGAGTCTCCCTCTCACCTTCCACTACCTCGGCCCTGCTGCAGCCCCTCTTGAGCTGACCAGCCTCAAGGTGGGGCAGGGAACAGCTCCGTTTGGTCCAGGAGGCTCAGCCTCTTCTCTGGGCCCCAGGCTGAGGCCCTGTCAACCCTCGGGCAGGTAGAGAGGCCATAGCTCTGTGAGGAGACTTTCAAATAGCCATTCCTGCCACCAGGAATGTGATAAGAGCAGGGGAGCCCAAGAGGAGATGCTGGGCCAGAGGAAGGGCTGCCTGGGACGCAGATCTCAGGGACAATAACTGCAGGCACCAAGTCCCCTGACCAAAAGCACCTCTCGATGTGACTACTGCCTGCGACTGTGATCTCAAAGGACAGGCTCCAGAAACAAAAGCTAACTGTGACGCAGCCCCTAAAGAAGCAGGCTGGGGTCTCCCCCTAGGCAAATGAAGAACACAGCTCTGAAGCTGGATGGGTAGTGGGAGGCAGTGGACATGGCCACCAGGAGGCACTATTCTCCCTGCTCCCACTAATGCTGAATAAATATGACAACTGTTCCTTCCACCGGAGCCTGTTCATCCACACAGCGGCCGCCTGTGTGCCTTCTGGGAGGCTCTGGCATCCAAGCAGTGTGGCCACAGGTTTGGCCTCCTCCCAACCCCGAAGCCCTGACTCACTGGGGTTTTGTGCTCAGATTCAAAGGGTTCCTTTGACAGTAGGGCTGGGGTCAGTTTCTCTGCGAGCAGTGTGGTCTGCTGGTGGCATGACCAGCCAAATGTCAAATGGCCCAGTCTGTGGGCTCTGGAGCCTCTCCCTGCAGCTGGACCAGAAGCATGGAGACAACTGAGCAGAGTGAGACCAGAGTGTTCCTCCTCTTAGGAGGAACACAAGGACCAGCAGACCACTCCCAGGACACCCGGGATTCTCCGTTCACCACAAGAAATCTCTGGATGTTAAACAGCAGAAGGATCTCCCCTGGGGCGGCCTGCAAAGTCAGCCTGCTTGCTTGGGTGGTCTGGTAGCTCTGCCACTTTTCCAGGGAGAGATGAAAGGGAGGGACCAGCCAGGGAGTGGCCTGAAGTACAGGCTGGGGTGGTCAGGGAGCCCAAGAGCCAGGAGAGCCTTTCTACCTTGTTGCCCTGCAGGCTCAGGCCAAGCTCCCTGGGGTCATCTCCACTGGGAACCAGAGCGAAGGCTCTCAGCAGCCCAGCCCAGCCATAGCCACAGCTCAGCCCACAAGCAGGAGGGAGGGGAGAGGAAGAGGAAAAAGAGCAGGAGCTCATGCAGAAGCCAACCTCTGAGGCGGGAAGGGCTAGTACACAGTATAGGATGGCCTCCAACAAGGGCTCCCTCTGGCTCCCCCTCTCGATGGTAATTTGACACTTGTATCTCCAGGACGACCAACAACAAAAAAGCTGGGGCTGGGACAGCAGCTGGCTGTCAGCAGCAGAAGCCGACGCTGAGGAAAGGTGCCCAGGGGACCAGCAGCGGGACAGAAAAGCAGTGTCCAAGAAGACAGAACAAGGTGGCCAAGGGCCCGGAAGGCACGCAGAGGCTTTGTACTGGGACACTCCTTCTTGGCTCCCCAATACCTCTGTTTCCAGGTGAGTAGTGCAGGGATGTGCTTAACCACCTCCTATGCACACCTGAGCTCTCCTTCCCCCTGGGACTCTACACTAGGGGATTGGGGACTCTGCCCAGCGCACTGGTCTCCTGCTTGCTGCGCAGCGGAGGGACCAAGGGCCTGCTTACTCTGCAAGTCAGTTTCAGCTTTTTCTATTCAATGGGCTTAAAAGAGGGATTTGGTTGTCCTGCCACCACATGCCTGCTGAGCCTCTGTGATTCCCAGGATTAGGGGTACCCCTGTCTCTGCATTCTCCCCAGTTGCACAGGCTCAGGACAGGGTATTCCCAGACAGCCCACAACTGCCCAGGATGCAGAAGGCCATGCAGCAACGTTGACCACATTGTTATTCCAAGGTTCAGCCTACTTGTTGTCAGGTGTTCTCAGCTCAGGCACAGGGAGAAGCCCTGGATCCATTTGGATCCCCAGGAGCCTTCAGGCCTCCCTCTGGCAATGAGGTCTGAACACAGACCAGGGTCTCACATGCCTCATTCTAAACCCAAGGCAGGCATGGGGAGATGGTGGGAACAGGAATGCCTGGGAGGGAGCCCCTTTATCTGCCTACTAGTCGGTTTTCTGCTGTAACACCGTGATGCCAACCCTGAAACAGTTCTTTCGTTCTTCAGGCAGTACTGAGCACAGCCCTCTTGAGCCAGCCGCATGAGCAGAGGGTGTCTATTCCTTCTGCCTCCCTGTCCTCACACCAGGGCTCAAACCCCTTCCCCTCATCTCAGATCAAGCACACAAGCCATATCTAGCAAGTTGGAGAAAAACAGAAACCAAGGATCAGGCCAAGCGTCTCGGGCGAAGATAAAGCTATGGGTGTTGCCTGGGTTGGTAACTGGGAGATTAACTCCCGTGACAGAGGGAGAGGATTTAACTGAAGCTGGGCTGCGCTCAAGGCAGCAGGTGAGGCCAAGTAAAGGAAGAGTACAGTGAAACCCAAACAGCGCAGCTGCCTTGCACCCACCAGACACAGGTGGATGGGATCCCTCCAGCAGTACCTGGACTGGGACAGAGGAGGACTGGCTAGCTTCTATGGCTACAGGCAAGGAGCTAGTTCAGTTTCTAACAGTCACCACAGCAAGAAGTCCTTCTGTCCTGGAAAGCTGCAGGGCTGGGGCAGCAGAACCAAGGATTTAAGCACCTACTTTCTATTTCTAGGCCAAAGAAAGAGTTGCCCAAATGCTCAGCACTCTGCACAGTGGGCATCTCTGCCCTGCTAGTCAGGCCTCTGAGCCCCACAAATCTGTAACTATTGGTTATGCCTCATTCAAGCAGCTTTTCAAACAAGAAAATGTCCAGTAGGGAGAGGGTGGCTGAGACCCACCATGACAAAAGAATAGGGGCACAGCAAGAAGCCCTTCAGGGTCATGAGCCATCAAGCACACTGTGTTTATCAGACACAAACATACTGCCTGCTCTCTTTCACACAAGGAGCCTGAAGTCAGACTATCAGTTTTTTGAGGCGGAAACAGGGAAGCCTTGGTAGCCATCTGGTGGTAGTCGTCTGGCCGCAGGATGCCTACTACTCTATGGCAAGGCTCACTGTGCTAACAGATGCCATACAGAGAAATGCTGCCCAGTCTCTAGTTCTGTCAGCCTCCCTCTGCCCTGTGGCTCTCCCCTTCTACAGCTGCACCCAGGGTGGGAGCACCCCTTAGAAGTCTCCAAGAACAGCTGCATGGGCAGCCTGGGCAATGGTACGGCCCAGTGGCTGTCCAGGCTGCTCTCTCTGCCTGAGGCCGGGGGAGCCCAGAACCACTCAGGACCCAAGAAGGCTCCAACGAAGGCATGAGGTTGGGAGGGACTCTGAATGCCCTGCTTCTCAGGCAGGAAGTACGGTTTTAGAAGGAGTTTGATGAATCTGAAAGGCGAGGAAAACGCAGAATTATCACTAGTGGTACTTGGCTTCCCTGCCTTCTCCTTCCAATCCTAGGAGGATAAAGGGACAAGAAGGGATCACCCCAGAGCTTCCAATCTCCCCTGACCACAGCTGGGAACATGCCACTGTGTCACTTGACAGCTGCTGGCTATATCAGGCACCAGGCGTCAGGCACTGGCCTTGCTTTAAATAGCCACTGGGAAGCTGCCTGGGGACCTATTCGAATGTGCCGTCCTTCCTTTTTGGAGAACAAGACCCCTCAGCCCCTTACCAATCCCATGGCCTGTTCTGCTCGGTCACAAGCCTAAGCTTGAAATGACAAAATATCAACTGCCAGGGAAGAGGGTTCCACTTCCACTCTCTGGAAGTAGAACCGCCATGCCCAGCAGCCCCAGTTCTGTGCACAGTGCAGAGGGCAGCCCTGGGTCCAATCCCAGAGCTAGGCAAGGCTGACCAAGACTAGCTTGCTAATTTAGCTCTCAGTCAAGGGCCTATAGAAGTGCCAGGCTCAAAGCTACCATGCAGCTCACTGCTGTGGACCAACTTCTTTCTAGAGTGGGGCCAGCCCCAGTGGGCATAAGTCTGCAGCTTTCTGACTTCTTAACCCCCAGAGGATGCTCGCTGCCTTTGAAGCTGAAGCTCTGATGAAGAAAGCCCAGCTTTCCTACACAGCAGCCTCAGCTTGAGTCTCAGGCTCAGTCTCCTCTACTCTGGAAACCCCAACTCAGATGGGCAGGGACCCTACACCATTGCTCCCTCTTAAGCAGGTGTCTCCCCTCCCCTCACAATCTTTCCCTTGATCTTTGGGTGTGGCGTACAAGAAAGTAAGTGCTCCCTGCTCTCCTTGCTGCTCGCTTCTCTTTTAAGGAGTGTCTTCACTGGGCTACATTATGCAACTTGGGCATGGTGCCAACAGGCTAAAAAGGCTAAATTAAATATATGAAGAGGGAGAGGAGAAAGGGAGCTCCATTTCTGACCACATAGAAAATCATTCCTCTAAGGACAAGGCCCCTGGAAACCTGAGAATGGAGATAGCACAGAGGTCCCACAACAAGAAAGATGCCACTATCCTTACAAAAGCCTGCTCTGGTCAGTGGGAGGGTCCCGTTTGGTCTGACCAGATCAGAAGGTCCTATGCTCAGGCTGGCAGGGCACACATCTGTCCCTTTGATGATAAGTACCATGTGTGGATCTCAGGAGGCCTGGTGGTGATTGCTGATAAAAGTGGTGCTACAACACAGTCTACTTCATGGGCAGTGCCCTCAGGAGGGCTGCCGCTGCTCTGAATTATCTTACTGCTCAAAGCCCAAACTGGCTTCCATCGAGTGGGAATGGGGCAGCAGGAGGTGCACTGTCTGGGCTCTTGTCCTGCCATGCGACCACAGAGAAGTCACATACTCTCAGGTCTCAGCGGCCCAGTTTATAAAAGGAAAGACACGGGAGCAGATGACCAGTAGCTACCCAAGATTCTGTGCCTCTTCATACTATGCAAAATGAGGTCTAATCTTTAGAGAAATGCATTAACTTGGGGTGAAGTGTGAGAAAAGCTGGGAGGATGTTAACTCAGAGAACCTCCAGCTTATGACAGGAAGTCATCTACTTTTCCAGGAAGCCATCACTTGCCTGCTACTCCTACTGTCACTAAAACTACAACTCCCCTTATCTAACTTGTTTATCTTCCTTCAAAACACACACCAGAACCACCCTAGGAATGAAGGACAGATGACACTCTCAACAGGTGTTTAGGGAGGACTAGCTGACAGTATATGAGGGCAGGGTTATGGTCCATAAGCCAGGGACACCCAGGGCTCCCTCACCTCTCCTGACCCTGGCCCGGCCCTCCCTACAAGGTATTCCCAAGGCAGGCCCCTCCCTGAGGCTGTTTGCTGTTCCCCATGACCACCAGATGACCAGTCCCCCAGCAGCTTGAAAGATGGGCATTTCAACTCAGTGCAGAGATGAAGGAACCTGTCACGTCAGAAGAGAAGGGATGATTAAAACAGTGTTCTGTGAGGGAAAGCTGGAACTTGTGAACCCACTGGGATAGAGAATACCATGGCAAAAACTGGATCAAGCTGGGAATTTAGCTCAGTGGTTCCGCTGCCTGCCTCACAAGCACAAGGATTCAAGTTTGATCCCTGATACCAAAAAAAACAAAAAAACAAAAAAACCTGAATCAACACAATGCTGTCTCTTCCTCCTCATGGTAGAACAATGTAGGAGTAAAGAAATTCGAAAGATGCATGCCAGCTGTCATGGAGTTCCTACAGCACAGTGAGGGAGCAGAGGGACAGTTGGGTCCTACGTGACCATAAGCTGGATTCACTGGAAATAGCCAGGGATTTGTGATGGGGTCTGCAATGGGGTGGGCAGACTTAGCAGTCAGGGATTCCTCACTATCAAAGGTGCTCAGGCAGAGGCTGCAGGGCCACAGCGGGGCAGCTGGTACGGGGTAGAGGGGCTCAATTACATGTCCTGCAAGGCAATTCTAAACTTGCTATGCAGGTGACAGCCCTTGCAGACTCAGCCATCTCGGGAAAACTATAGCAGAAAGCACTGCCCACCCAGTAGAGATAAGGACAAGGTGGCAATCATTAAAGCTAAAGGTCTGACGCAAGCCCCTGACCGCCTATCTTCTACTCTTACCCCCAAGGTTAAAGCAACTGTCTTGGTGAACCAGTTCATACTGGGTTGGTACAAGGTTTCCCCTGGTTCATCTCTAAAAAGGCCCTGGCTCCCTGTGCTCAAAGGAGAGATGGAAAGAGAAAGAAATCCTGATACACAACAGGCCCCAACTCACACATTCAGCCTGGAGCTTGCCCTCCAGGCGTTGGGCACCCCTGGACAGGAAGAGCCTCTCTGGCGGGGGTGGGCCAAACCTGGTCAGGCCAGAGGAACAGGTCCTAGCCCACAGGGGAGGGACTGGCTGCCAGCCCTGAAACTCCTGACCCCACTGTGACAGGGGATCCTCTGGCAATAACTGGATTAGCACGGTGCTGCCTCTTCCTCCTCCTCATGGTAGAGCAATGTAGGAGTAAAGAAATGTGGGAGAGGGAGAGCCAATGGCAGTGGACACCTGCAATCTCAGTTACGTAAGAAGACAGCAAGTTGGAGATTAGCCCAGGCAATTCAGCAAGATCCTGTCTCAAATTAAAAAGGGCCAGCTATTGTAGCTTTCTTCATGATAGCCTACCTTACTTTCTTCAGGGTGTTCTTTTATTGCTTTTTCTCCTTTTACTTGGCTCAATCTCACTCTGCAGAGCCAGTTTCTCCCTCACTCTTCATTTTTACTTTCTCAAACTTGGCCCATTGCTTTTTGAAAATAAAATAAAATAAAATGTACCAGGGTACTACTAGGTAGGGGTCTGGGTTCAATCCCTAATTAAAAAAAAAAAAAAAAGTGGTGGGAGAGTAGGTTGCCCCAGGAGATTCAACTTCATTCCCCAAAGCCAGGAGCACCTCTCTCCCATCAGTTTCCACCTACTCCGATCCCAGTAAGAGCCCATCCACCCTCCAGGCAACCTGCTCTTTGACCCTGCTCTTTGACTCTTGCCCCTACATTCATCAAAGGATCAAATGCAAGCGTACCAGGCTGGAATCCCAGGCCTGTCTTCACATCCTGACAACCCAGGGGACAGTAAGGGTGCTGTGTCAGCTAAGGCACCCTGGCCAGCCCTGGCTGTGGTGTCTCAAGACAGAACAATGTTAACAGTGAAGGTGCTCCACCTCATGGTCAGGAACCTTCAAGCTTAGCCTTAGCTAAGCCCCCAAGGCAGGCTCTCAAAGTACCCCTCCCCTCACTTCCCTCATCCTGGGCAGTGCTGGCTAGCTGCAGGCTGAGAGCTGCTACTTCGCACATAAGACTTCCTGCCTCCTCAGAACCACCAGGGGCACTAGGAGTGAACCTGACAAACTTGTTCTGCAGGCTGCAGTAGGAGAGAGGGTGGCTTGCTGGTGCTGCCTCTCACTCTAGGTGCTTTCTGCCCCGGCGCAGCCCGCAGGAGCTTTGGCAGGAGCGCGTACAGCATGGCGGCCATGGACTTTGTACAAGAGATGCGCTCTGTGGGTGAGAGGCTGCTGCTGAAGCTTCGAGGACTGTCGCAGGCTGAGCCAGTGGAGCTTGTGGCTTTCTCCATCATCGTCCTTTTCACAGGCAAGTGGCGGCACCCACCCCATGGCTCTCTGGCATCTGAGAGAGACTAGACCAGTGACAGCAAACCTTTCAGAGCTTCAAATGATAAAAATAGCCCACTGCAGCATGATGCCATAGGTTTGCCACAGTACTGGCTAGGGGTTTGTGGGGTTGGCAGGTGTCTCCCAGATGAAGAGGAGGCCGCGGTCCCTTGAGGGATCCTTTAAGGGATTTTTCCATATCTTCTGACACTGCCCACATGATGTGCAATGCTGGGAATTGGATCTAGCAGCACTGTCAGATGTCAACCCAGGGATGAAGGGAGCCAAACTTGGGCAATAAAAGAGATAACAGTGAGGTCAGGCCCTGGGGTTGGCATGGGGACGGTTAGCACAGCCCGTCAGACTCTCAGGTCTTTCTGACCACTAATCCAGACCTGGGGAGAAGGTCCTAGCACACCCCCAAGGAAGCTTCTTGGGAAGGAGGGTGGGCACCCTTTCCCTCCCAGGGTCTGAGGTGCGCACACTCTCCCATCCTGCAGCCACTGTTCTGTTGCTGTTGCTGATAGCCTGCAGCTGCTGCTGCGCACACTGCTGCTGCCCTGAGCAGAGAGGCAGGAAGGTCCAGGTACAGCCCATGACCCGGCCATGAGGGGCGGTGGAGATACCAGAAGAGAAGCTGGAAAGGAGACTACCACAGCCATGACACAAGCTGTCAGCTTGGGCCTGCAGTTCTTGCCTCTCCAGACAAGGATACCCTGGCCTCAGCTCTGGTCCTGTCTAGGTGCCAGGACACTGATACCTGGAGCCTTATCAAGAACAAGGGCTGGTACAAAATTCTATCTGCCAGTGGACCCTGGATGCTGAGGAAGACCTGACTGTTTCAGACTCAGTAAGTCACCTGAGTCCTTTGCCAACCTGCACTTTTTACAGAACAAGGACACAAGGGTCTTCATTCTTTGATGGGGAACAGCCCACACATGTGGGCAGCTAGCCCTTAGGGTTCTGCTGATCCATGCCAAAGAGGAGTGAGCTAATCAGAGGGATTTTGTGCAACAGCTATAGGATCCCAGGTTCCCTTAGAGGGGAAACATGTTTATTTCTAAGTAAAAGCTTTTTGGTTATGTGTTTCTGAGGTTGGCCTGGGCTCCATGAAACAGAAGGGCAGTCCCACAATTCTAGGGGTGTGGCCAGTGACTGTTTTTATAGGCCACAGCCCCACCCTCCCCCCACCCCCCAGCCATGAAAGCTGGAAAATTACCCAGGAAGAATACCATGCAGGCAGCAATGCCATGAAATCAGTGGAGCTGCATGGAAACATTCCTGTCAGCTGTTAACAAGCACTGGATGCTGGATGCCTACTCTGCTAAGTGTTGGAGGCTGTTTGCCTCAGGACAGGTGTTAGGCCCAGTTATGCCAAAGCCTGTAACTTCTACCTGCATACTCCGTACTAGCAGGCAGGCCACTGGATCTTTCCAAACTTCTGGAGAGGAGAAAGGTTAGCTCCTAGTATTGTCTGTAACCTGCATCCTGCACCTTTGTTCTTGTCTCCATTTGTATGATGACTGGGCTCACACCTACATCTTCCACTTGTCAGCTGTATGACTCAATCTCCCTGAGTCAGGTCTCCTCCCTAGTAAAACGGGCTAATCCTGGTTCTTGCTTCCTGGGGTAACTTGTGAGGATAAACTAAAATGACCTACGTCTAGCAGTTAACACAATGTTGGCATGTCCTAAGAGCTCCATAAATACGAACTGTCATTATTTGCCCCTTTAAACAATCGATCAACCTAGAGTATCATGGATCCACTCTAAAGAATGTTCCTGCTGAAGTGCAATCTCCTTCTGGCCTCCCACCCTTTGGTTTTCTTTTCTAGAGGCAGAGCTACAAACTCAGAAATGGGGGAAGCAGAGGCACACAAATGTAAAGCTCTACACATGCCACTGGGACTGGGCCAGAGCCTTCACCAGGCTTCCTTCTAACTGTCCAGAACCATCATACCAGGATCTATAACTTTTTACATTCTCTGCCATCTGTGTCTGCACAGTACATGCTCTAGTATTCTGAGAGCACAACCCTGTCTACCTAGAAAACAGGTCATGGAGAGGATGCCAGGCCCTGCCATCTTCATTTGGCAATCCAGGCCATGAAGGCAGGGACAAGTAGGTAGGAGGAGCTGTCATTGGCTCATTCCACTTCCTGGTGTTTACTGACTCTCCTGACAGGTTTGGATTAAAGACTCAGAGAGGAAAAGTTTCCATACAAAAAAAGAATAAAGAGGGCCAGGGATTTAGCTCAGTGGTTCTGCTGCCTGCCTCACAAGGTGCAAGGTCCCAAGTTTGATCCCTGGTACCAAAAAAAAAAAAGAAAGAAAAAAAGAAAAAGAAACCTAGGGTTGGGGAGTTAGCTCAGTGGCAACACACCTGCCTTGTAAGCAAAAGGTCCTGAGTTCAATTACCATACCAAAAAGGAAAAAAAAGAAAAAACAAACCTATCCTCAGCCCCACCCAAAGAATGGGATCCAGAATAATAAAAAAACAAGGATGATAATGATGACAGCTAAAATTCAGTGAGGGCCTGCACATGCCTAGGCATTGTCTTAAGCGTTTCAATGCAGACAAATTCATTTAATCATCACAATACCTCACTGCTGTAGGTACCATTATTATCCTAACTTAGACATGAGGAAATTGAGTCTTAGGGACACTAGGTGATTTGTCCAAGTCTGTCCAGCTGAAAAGTGGTAGAGCCAGTCTCTGGGTCCAGTCTGTCTGGCTCCAGAGCCCCTGCTTACCACACCCAGTGCTCTGAGAGTGCCCAGGTGCAGGACAGATAAGGCTCTGATTCTATCATCCTCCATCAACCAACCCTACATCCAAACATCCACACCAAAACTCTGTCCCAAATTGCCTCCACAAGAGTGGGTGGGAACCAACTGGGGTGGCGCCCAACTAGGTGTCAGAAGAAAAACCCAGGCACAGTGGGAGGGACAGGAAGGCCTGCATTATTTTCACCCAGCACCACTGGCTAGAGGTAGAAGTCTTCAGTTCAGAAGCTGCACCAACAGGGATCCAGCCCAGCTCCTAACTGACTCTTCTTCAAGCAAGGCTTCATTAGCATCAAGAATGGCCCTCTAATTGCTGTGAGTTCAAGACCAGCCTGGGCTACATAGTGAGTGAGTGCCAGATCAGTCTCAACTACATAGTGAGACCTTGTCTTTAAAAACCAAGGAAAAAAGGGCTGGGGATTTAGCTCAGTGGTTTTGCTGCCTGCCTCGCAAGTACAGAGACCCGAGTTCAATTCCTGGTACCAAAAAACAAAAAACAAAACAAAACAAAAAACCAGGAAAAAAAAAGAATGTCCCTCCAAGGCAGGCCAGGTTGTGCACACCCTTAACCACAGCACTTGGAAGGCTAAGGCAGGAGAATCATGAATTCGAGGCCAGCCTGGGCCACATACAATACCTGTCTCAAAATACCCAAGACCAAAACAAAAAGGTTCTCCTCTAGGGTGGCTGAGGCTGAGACTCATTGCTAGAAAGATTTCAGTTCCCAGCTGCTGAGAGACAGGCACCATGGACAGGCCTGAGTACACACAGGCAGACTAGTCAGTTCATTTGTGCCTTCCTGTTCCATGCCACAACTGCTAGGTCCAAATAAGAAGCTGTCCCTGCCCACAGCGGACTTGCTCCTCCCTGCTGCACAGCCCCACCATCACTGTTGGGCCAAGTCCCAGGCGGGTGACCAGCCTGCTCAGATGAACAGATACTCTGGCCTGACAGCATCCGGGCACATTCCCTGGATGCACAGCCTCTAATGTGTGTCTTTCCTGAGGAAGATGGACTAGGAAAGGAGGCACCTATCTCCTATTGTAGGAAAAATAGGATGTTTGAAAATTGCCAATGGCCAAAGAAGGGGCAGCCACTAAGGCTTGTTAGGTCTGGAAAGCATCCAACCGACTGGACAGCACTTCTGGAACTGCCCCACACCATCCTAGACCAAGCCAACAGCAGTGTTTGCAGGACCAGCTGCAAGCAGCCTCAACGGTCTCCACAGTGGTCTCGCCAGCCTCCTCACTCCACCTCTGTGGCTGCTGCTGCACCAGTGTCTGCTCTTGGTTCTTCAAAAGGGCTGCACTCACACTGAAGATCTGTTCATTTTAGTGTCTGCACATTATACCTATTACAAACTACAACAAAGCCACTGAACAAGAACCTCATTAGGAAAACCTGGCAGAGCATAGAAAGAGTTTCCTCCTAAATCTGTTTGCTCAAATGTTAACATTTTGAAGCAATCTACAATAAAATTTGTAATGACACAATGGGCAACACAAATAGCAATGCAAATTTCAGATCATAAAATGTGAGGCCAAATTAATTTTGTCCTTAAATTCTTCTCTCTTTGGCCCTGGGCAGTGAGTGCTGTGGGATGCAGCCCCTAACTCTGACTCTCAGGCAATGAGTCTTAGCCTTCACATCTCTACGTCTACTTCACCTCTGGACAGAGGAAGTCTCAGCACACAGACAGGCTCTTCCACAGGCAACCTGTGCCTTCCCTATCATCTCACTCTCCTCACTGTGGTCATGACAGCAGAATTATCCACTTGGAAACAAGGTTCACTGAAAAAGCCAGTTAAAGCAACTTTCGTGTGTGCGGAGTACATTCTCTACACATCTCATTTGAAACTGAAACGGACAGCACATTCCCCGGCCAACCTTTCTGGAGGAGCGCCCAGGTCTTTTATCTGAGTGTGAGCTTGCTGTACTTATTTTGGAGTTTTGGTTTCATCAGAGCAGAACAAAAACTTAAAGAAACTTGCAAAGGAATCTGAGTGTCCAGTGCCCCTGGCATTTTACAAAACATCTGCTTCTCTTGACAGAATTATTTGAGTGAATCCAAGTGGTCCCACAGATGTTTACAGGAATAACAATTTACTTTCTCCTCTTCAGAGGTACAGCAAGTGCCTCAGAACTCAGACTGTATAGCTGGCTTCAAACCAACTCGGTTACTTATTAGCTACATGACCTTGGTTAAGTTATTAAACCTCTCTGTGTCTGTTCCTCATCTGGAAAATTTTAGGTATCATTGTTCAGGTATCACTGCTTCATATTTTAATGCCATGTTACATTCAATTGTGTAATTATAACAAGCACACAAAAAAAGTATAACTGCCACAATCCAGTACGGGAACTGACTGTTGATAAGCCCCTGAGTTAACTTGGGGAGAAGTAGTACCAGTGTGTGCCAGAAGCCAGGCTGCTGGCTGTGTACTTGGCATGCCAGGGATGTTAGTCAGCAAGTTCTACACAAGGAAATAGAAAACATCAGGCAAGCCAGGGGTCAATACAGCCCACAACAGTTCAGAACACTTCACTAAGTCAGATGTGATGGCACACACCTGTGATCCCAGCACTTTGGAAGGCAGAGGCAGGAGGATTACAAATTCGATTCCAGCCTGAGCAGCTTAGTGTGATCCTGTACCCCAAAATAAAAATGTTTGGGGATGGTGGTACATGCCTATAATCACGGCACTTGGGAGGCTAAGGCAGGTGGATCACTGAGAGTTCAAGGCTAGACTGGGCTACATAGTGATTTCAAGGCCGGCCTGAACTACTTAAGGAGAACCTATCTGAAGACAAAGGAAGGAGGGAAAGAGGCAAGGCAGGCAGGAAGGAAGGAAGCAAGCAGATGCAGCTCAGTGTGAAGGTCTTGGGTTCAATCCCCAGCACCGAAAAAAAAATAAAAATAGAACTGAACTAGAAAATAGAACATCATCTGCCAACCTCCCCAGCTGTACCTGGAGAAGTTTAAAACAACACAGTGTCTTCTTGTCCTAGGAACAGCTATAAGTGGTATGAGGTGGGACCTGAGCTATTCTAAAAGCTCCCAGCTGACTGTAACAAGCAGGGCTGAGGACCTGCAGCTCTGAGGGCAAGGCCCACTTCTCTTGTCCCATGACTGCTCAAACGCCCATCATCCCTGGCCACAGAAGGACCACACCTCTAGCTTTTAGAGGAATCAATAGTGGCCACCAGGGTTCAAGCACAAGACACACACTCCATTCCCCTTCCCCATTCCCCACAGCACCAGTGAGTAGGAACCAACTGCACAGACGCTGAGGCCATGCCCGAGAGGCAGGAAGCACCAGCCTCAACAGTGATAAACACTTCTACCCAGAAACTCGGTGCAGGAGGCACCAGCCAGAGCTGCTGTTAATCATTCACCCACACCACACACAGGAAGCGAGGCCTTTGTGGCAGTACCAGCCTCGGGGCTTCCCAAGTTCTGGACAGGTTCTCTCAGGGGATAGATCATCTAGACTGAGAGCCAAGCCCCAGTTCAGAGGTGAGGTGGATGGGCAGCCTGGTGCACAGCCATTAGATACAATCTTTCTCTATTCCACGCCGTGTGATTTCTCTCAGGGAGGACTCTTAACATGCACCCCAAGTTCCCCCAGACTGACATCACAGAAGGCCAGAATGAAGCTGAAGGGCAGTTGCCAGGCACCTACCCTACTCCACCTTTGTTTGCTGTTGGGGGCAGTACTGGAGATCTGGTCAGGGCTCCTTGGCAGTCCCGACACCTCTTCCTCCCAACAGCTGCTCCTCTGAGTCAGGGCGCATCTCTGGTCACCTGGCAGCCCCTTCAGCCTGGGCCTCCCAAGCACAGGGGCTGAAGGATAACTCTGATCTGCCCTCACAGGACACAGGACCGCTAGCAGCACAGGCAGGTAATGACTCCTCCCTTCTTCCCCGATCTCCCGTCAAATGGCTGCAGCCCATGACCTGCACACACTACCTCTGTCTCCACAAGTTAGGCCTCCTGTTGTTCAGGGGCCTCCAGGGACATCTACTGAAGCTTCGGCCACTCCTAAACTCCCATCCTTTTATTTACTTATTTTTTGCTTTCTTCTCTCCCTCCCTTCCTCTACTTTACAGTAATGGCAATTTTTAGTACTGGGGAGTTGGAGCCACAACCCTAAACTACCACATCCTCCTTTTTTAAAATCCTGAAACAAGGTCTCACTAAGTTGCCCAAGGTGCTAGACTCAGACTTCTGGTCCTTCTGCCTCAGCCTCCATTTCAAATAGCTGAGATTATAGGTATGCACCACCATTCTGGCTGTTAGTTTTGTTTTTGAAATGAGGATCTCCCTGTTACCTCTGTTTTGTTTTGTTTTGTTTTTTCCCTCATTGAGTTTATTGGTACATTTTAGGTATACAGTACAGTTACATTCATTATTGGGATCTTGTACTTTACATGACAGGTCTTGGTTCTCATTTTTTCCCCCTTGTCCCTGCTGCCCTCCCTTCACCCCCTCCTACTCTGTTTTGGTTTTGAAATGGGAGGTTCTCCCTGTTACCCAGGCTGTCCTTAAACTCTTGAGCTCAAGTGATCCTCCTGCCTCAACCTTCCAAATAGGTGGGAGTACAGGTGCAAGCCACCAGTATACCCACTGACCTCCCAAAATGTCTTCCAACGGAGCTGGGGATTTAGTTCAGTGGCACTGTGCCTGCCTTGCAAGCACAAAGTCCTGAGTTCAATCCCTAGTACAAAATAAAAAAAAAAGCCTCCTAAAGAACTGGGATGGGAAAAGTAGGAAGGATCTATAGGAATGCTTTTTTAGATTCTAGCAGAATAGGGCTCAGTGGCAAGATCCCTGGCTTCATAATGGGTCTATTCAAGAAAGAACTGGAGACTCCAGAGGAATTTGGAATGGAGACTGGAGCCAGCCTCCAGGAAGAATACAGGCCTTTAATCTCAGCACTTGGGAGGCTAAAGCAGGAGAATCACCATGAGTTCGAGACCAGCCTGGGACACATCAAGAGTTCAAGGCCTACCTGAACTGTCTAGTGAGATCTTGTCTCCAAAAATCAAAAAACAAAACAAAAGAGAGGAGGAATGTCAGGCCCTCACCACAGAACAGAAAACTACAAATATTGCCTTCAGACTTGAACCCAAAGACTCATCTCCCCTTTCTTCAGTGTCCGCTAGCCACAGAGATAATGAGCTATTCGCTGACTGCCACAGGCATCAAAGCTGGGGAAGTAGAGAGCAGCACCTAGGACCGGGTCTTGAGGGCTCCCTGCACTCAAGGCCCCGCCTCCTCTTTTCCAGGTTTACATGGACCAAATATTATTGCAGAAGGACATCTGGCATGATGAGTTCTGGGAGAACCCCTGGGACCTGGCCGGCCTGATAATCATCAGCTTATTCATCGCCACAGTCCTGTTTTTCATCTTGTTTGCTATTATGTTTGGGTTGCTCTTTCCAGGGGACAGTACCGAGGGTGACCAGCAGTGATTTGATTTCTTGAGGGCTGAGAAGGCAGCACGTGAGGGGGGCTGACCAGCTCACCCCGTACTGTCACAGTCCCCTCTGCTCAAGGGCCTCACCCTGGTGTCTTTTTTTTCTCATCAGAAAGCAGTCTGGTCAGACACTGGGCCTGGCTTGGGACTGGTCAGATAGCAAGATGGGGTAGTGGGTCTGATACAGATCCTGGGACCCCACACCATGTGCCACCTGAACCCTGCAGGCAGGTGGGAAAGGGCCTTGCCTCTTCCTCAGGCTAATTAGGTCCTCTCACAGGTTCCCAGCCCAGCCAGCAGCTCTGTAAGTCCTTCACAGAGGACATAAAATAATCAGATGAAATAAAAATTCCTTTTCAAATCTGCTAATTTGTGAGAGCTCATTTTCCATCTAAACATGGCCATCAGAGCCAGCTTACCTAGCAAAGCTTCCCTGGGGCCTACAAATCCCCTCGTGGTCTGGCACTGCCTACCTATCTCACCGGGTATCTGGCATATATCCCTTGGTTCTCAGTATGACTTTCAGTTCCTGTGTTCTGTTCCCTGTGTTCTCTCCTGCTCCAGGGCCTTTGCACATGATATTACCTTTAACCAAGATGTTCTCCCTCATACTACACCTCGGTCCTTGGCTTAGTTAATGCCTCCTTATCTTTCAGATCCCAGCTAAACATGCCTTCCTCAGGTATTAACATCCCTGACCCTCTAGATTGGGGTAGGGCCACCTGTTGTACAATCTCAAAATATCACTCACATACCTTTCCTTCAAATCCCCCTCAAGAAGAACTGTACTTTTTTTTTAATATGACTATCTGACAAGCACCTGTCTCCCCCTTGGGTCTCCTTCTGCTCACCGCTGTATCCCTATGACCAGTGTGCCTGGCATAGAGTGAGCATCAATTGATTTGTTGGTTGAATAAATGAACAAATGAGCACATGAACACACAAATGGGCAAAAGGAGGATCCCGAGGCTGCTGGGCTCCTCAGCCCAGAGTCCCTAGTCAACTATTCACTCCAGGTCTAAACACAGAGCTGTTCCTACACCTCAAAGTACCCAGCTCACTTGGCCAGAGGTTGCTTCAAGCCTAAAAACTATTCTCACAATACTTCAAGGCAAGAAGCCTTGTCATGGGGCCGGGGATTTAGCTCAGTGGTTCCGCTGACTGCTTCACAAGTGCAAGGTCCCAAGTTCGATCCCCAGTACAAAAAAAAAAAAAAGCGCTTTTTCATGACTGCAGCCCAGACAGTAGGCTACATGCAGAGACAAGAGGAAAACTACTGTGTCCTCATTCCTAACTCACCTAAGTATCTTTTCTGTTGGTCCCAGGGCCCCCCATATCCCTCACAGGGTTCCATCTCCTCACGTCCCAGCCCCTACAAGAGGTTCCTTTTAGAAATGTACCCACCTCAGCCAAGCCCACCCCACTGGCTGGTTCCTCAATGCCAGGTGTCAGCCCTAAGGGACAGTTGGTAGGAACAGCTGTCCGACCTCAAATTCAAACCAGTACTATTCTTAGAAAAGGAGCAAATATGTGGTGGAGAGGGGCTTTTTCATACTATGTGCCATTTATGCAATAATGAAACAGTCCCTTTCAAGCCAGGCATGGTGGCACACACCTACAATCTAAGCACTCAGAAGGCTGAGGTAGAAGAATAGTCACAAATTCAAGGCCAGCTTGGGCTACATAGTTCAAGTCCAGTTCAAGTGGGAACTCTGACAATTAGCAAGACCACTTGGTCCTTTCATTCCTCAGCAGAAATGAGAGTTCTGCTCAAGTAGTCCGAGAAGGCCAAATTTAGCAGCTCCCTGTACCAGGATCTATAAAGGGCTCTGGTGGCAATGGCCATAGGCAAGGGGGCCTGACACTGCAGCCCACCACTTTTGTTGGGTGTGGTCCTGCCTCAGAGGCCAAATTAGAAATGGCTGATCCAAATAGAAATAGCTCAGGGGCCAGGGATTTAGCTCAGTGGTTCCACCACCTGCCTTGCAATCTCAAGGACCTGAGTTTGATCCCTGGTACCAAAAAAAAAAAAAGAAATAGCTCAGTCCAGGAGCCACCGACTCATCAGTGAGGAGGAGGGAGATGGGAGTCCAAACACAGGACCCAAGTAAGTGTCTTCCTGGTTTCCAAAGAAGGACCCAAAACATCTGCCACACACTGATATAATGTACTTATCCAGAATCCTGTTTCAAGACTCTAGTCTTGGGCCTAGAGGTGTAGCTCAATGGTAGGGCACTTGCATAGCATGTGCAAGGAAAAAAGAAAAAAAAAAAAAAGACTCTCATCTTGCAAAAACCAAGGTGTGTGAAATAAACACTGCACATAGAAATCAGGAGGGCTAAGGTTAGTGACTTTTGTCTACTATGAGATCTGTGACAGTGACCTGCCTGGAGCTCTAAATTTACAGCAGTCACTTATAGCAGTCTCCTCCCGGGACTGTTACATGTGAGTGGATAAATCTGAGTCCAAAGTGTACAGAATCCTCCTGGGTGTCCCTCGCACTCATACTGTGGTGCCATGTGCCCAGCCACATTCTGACTGTCCCTGGACAGCCATCAGATTTTTTCCATAGTCCTTGTACACTGCTACAAATACATACAAAAGAGGTAAGTGGGTTCCATGTGGGTAGGCTGGGTTTGTGTTAAAAAGGCTGATTTTTCCAAAGCACATGATGCCCCTGCCCAAGAGGTAAGTGGGTCACATACTTCTGTTTGGGCCCTGAATGAGTACCACTCAAGTGAAGCCAGAAGTCCCAGCTCAGGGGCATATGATGACCACAGAGCCAGTGGCTCAGAGCTGGCCACATGGAAATGAGTCACTCATGAAGCCAGCCATTGCAGAAAAGGATGGATGACCACCCAAAATGCTAAACAAATCCTCACACTGTCAGAATTTGGGGGGCCTAAAGAAGACAAATGGATTTCCAGGCTGTCCACACAAACAGCGTCACAGGCAAAGGTCCCTTGGTGGCCCAAGGGCTGTCTCATGGCAGCAGGTTAAGTAATGGGTGCCAGGTGAAGAAATAATCTCAATGACACTTTAGTCCACATCCAAAATAAGACACTTACCCCTGTTCTTCACAGAAGGTCACCAGGGCATCAAAGGCCAAGAGTGTGGCTTTATCAGATGATTTGTTCCCTCTCTTTTCCTAGAGAGAGACAATGATCACTTAGCAACTCTTACAGAGTCAGACTTGTCTCCACAGATGTAGTGAGGTAGAAAAATGTTAAAGGACAGTAATAAAGCCATTTACTAAACAGTGCCACCAAACCTAACAATACATCAAAATCCCCAGTCTATTTCTGAGAGTTTGTATTTCCAAAAACTTCCTTAAGTCATTCTCATGCAAAGGCCTTGGACAGGCATTTAGGAAACACTATAATAGGCCCTAATTTTATAATAATAAATATACAAGTGTCATGTCCTTACATATATATAAGCATATATGTATATATATGTATATACGTATATGTATATATGTATGTACACACACACACACACACACACACACACACGGGAGAATATACACCAAATATTAACAGTGATCACCTCTGAGTTACAGGTATACATCACTGGCCTTTATTTGCCAAAATTTCCTCTGAGAAAATGCAACAGACACTGCCGAGACATTATCTACTGATTTTCTGCGTTTAGAAAGTGACTCAAGCCAGGCAGGGTGGTACATGCCTGTAATCCTAGCAACTCAGTAGGCTGAGGCAAGAGGACTGTAAATTTAGAGCCAGGTCAGGCAACTTACCAAGACCCTCTCACAAAATAAAACAAAAAGGTTGGGGGATGTAGCTCAGCACTCCCTGGGTTCAATCCCCAGTACAGTACACACACACACACACGCACACCTACCCCCATTTCCCAATATGTTTAAGTTGCAACTTCATGTTAAAACAATATTTCCCTCATTACGACTATGTCAACATTGCTTCAGGCTATACCACAATTACATTTCCCATGATCACATTTCTCCTCTTGTCCAATGTTGTTTCCTCTGAAAGTAACAGCTTTGTTTTTTCCATTTACTTAGATTTTTGAGCTGTCAATAATTCATCCTCAAATGTTCTGCCATAATGAAGAATTCCTTTTTGGGGGGGAAGGGAGATTGAAGCCAGGGCTTCTGCACTAAGCTACATCTCTAGCCCTCTTTTAATTTTTATTTTGAGATAGGGCCTTATTAAGTCACTAAGTTGCAGAGGCTGGGCTCTAACTTATGATCCTCTTGCCTCAGCCTCCCAAGTGTGTTCATCTTGTCTCAATTCTGCCAGACAGTTCCTCTACATAAACTAAACTGATGCATTGGAACTTCTGTTTCATGGAATTTGGTCTCAGAACTAGTGTATCTGGACCAAAGTGCACCTGTATTTTAAAATGTAACAGAAGACTGGGGGCATAGCTCAGTGGTAGAGCATTCGCCTAGCACACTTGAGACCCTGTTTTATACCCACCACCACAAAAATAATAATAACAATAATAGACTGTTATAGAAGTTGTCAAACTACTTCCTCTAAAATGATAGTAATATTTCATTTTTCTCCTGACAAAGTACTAGAGTTGTTTACATGTACAGTAAAGCATTTTACTTTAATTTGCACTTATCTGATTACTATCTGAGCATCTTTCAACATGCTACTTTGATGAAGGGTTTTTTTGTTTTGGGTTTTTTTTTCTCTTGTGGTAATGGGGATTGACCCCAGGAAACACTGAGCTACATCTCCATCCTTTTTTAAATTTTCCTTTTAAATTTTGAGACAGGGCCACACTCAGCTGTCCTATGATTCGCCTGTCTCTGGAGTCGCTGGGATTCCAGGTATGCATCTATGCACCTGCGATAGCAACTTTCTTTTCATATCCTCTGCTTTTTATAACCTTTAGCTTTTCTTGTCAGTGGTAAAAATTCTCTGTTTGTTCTCAAGTGTAACCTTCTGCTTGCCTTCTACATTAAAATATTTTCCTAAAACTATTTACCTATTGATTTTGTTTATGGTTTATCATATAATCTTTCATAAGCTTAGAATTTGTAATATATTAAAATTTTTTAATATACTAAGATAGGGCCGGGGATTTAGCTCAGCGGTTCAGTGGCCTGCCTTACAAGCGCAAGGACCCGAGTTCAATCCCCAGTACCAAAAAAAAAAAAACAAAACAAAAAAATACACACACACACACACACACACACACACACACACATATCATACACTAAGATTTCCAGCTGAATATGGTGACCCATGCCTGTAATCCCAGCATTCAGGAGGCTGAGACAGGCGGATCACCATAGGTGGAGACCAACCTGGTTACACAGTGAGTTCAAGGTCAGTCTGAACTATGTAGCAAGACCCTATCTCAAAAAAATAAAATATTTCATGGTGGTGCATGCCTGTAATCCCAGCACTCAGGAGACTGAGGCAGGAGGATTGCTGTGAGTTTGAGGCTAGCCTGTGCTACCCAGCGAGCTCAAAGCAGCCTGAACTACATAGTGAGACCTTGTTTTAAAAAGACATTAAGAAGGAAGGAAGGAGAAAGAAAGAGACAGAGAGAGAGAGAGAGGAAGGAAGAAAAAGAGAAAGAAAAATAAGGCAAGCAAGCAAGTAAAAAGAAAGTGAGCCAGCTTCTTTCTGGGCTTTAGATTTTTTATTATAAAAGTAACTTCTGTCCTAGATTATGCACTAGACTAATTTTCTTATTAAAAAAAAATTTTTTTCAGACTGTCTCCCTCTGCTGGCCAGGTGGGCCTCAAATGATCCTCCTGTCACAGCCTCCATGTAGCTGGGATTACAGGAGCACACCATTGTGCCTGGTCCCCACATTCTTAACACAATGATTATAAATATGTTTAACAGTTTTGCCAACAACAGTTTTATAGATATAAAAGGATAGCTCACTACCTAATTTGCATCTAATTATCCAATTCCTAAGTGAAAGTGACATAATGATTAAATAAGTATATTGATTACATCCATTGATGCACTGATTAAATATCCTGGTTTCCTTTTCTGTGAAATGCCTATTCATGCCACGTGAGATGTGGCTGTTTGCCTTTCTATCTTCTTTTTTCAGTGCTGAGGATGGAATCCATGCTAGGTACTAGCTATACCAAGCCATACTACCAGCCCTATATATTTCTTATTTTGAGACACAGACTCACTAAATTGCTCAGGCTAACCTCGAACTTGCAACCCTCCTGCCTTAACCTCTCAAGTAGCTGGTATTACAAACATGCCTTCACACCAAGCTGTTCTTTGGCTTTTTCTTATTTACCCATAGGAGTCTCCATATGGCCAGTAAATCATATGTAATGCAAATATCTTCCCCAATATGGACTGATTTTTCATTTTGTTTATGCTTCTAAATACAAAGAAATTTTTAAGGGGAAGAGAAATATTAAAAAAAAAAAAAGGCTGTGTTATGTATATGTACCAAGTCCCCATAATATAATGTAATGATTGTATTATATTATTTATTAAAAGATAAAATATTTTTTAAATGTTTTTAAAAGATCAAAACAAAAATAAATGTTAAGTTTGAATTTAGTCAAACAGACTGTAACTTCCTTTATAGCTTCTGATCCTAAAATTTTTGTTTTGTTTTGTTTTTTGTTTTTTGAGACAGGGTCTCTACTACTTCTCGACCTTTTGGCTAAGATCAAGAGGAGACAGGGTCTCACTATGCAGTTGAGACTGACCTGGAACTCACTATGTAGCCCAGGCTGGTCTCGAACTCATAGTGATCCTCCTGCCTCAGCCTCCCAAGTGCTGGGATTACAGGCATGCACCACCATACCCAGCCTTTATTTTTTTTAAGAGTAGGAAAAATTTATTGAGAGAAAGAAAGCTTCTGTCTAAGACAGACAGAAGGGGACCAGAAAGTGGGTTGCCTGGGACCCTATTTCCCATGAAATATTTATGGAGCAAAGCTACTGCTTCTAAAATCTTAAGAACAAAAAATAATTTGTCCCAAAATCTGGGGTTTTCTTTTCAGTATGAGGGATCAAACCCAGGGACTTCACATTAAGCTACCTCCCCAGCCTTTTTTTTCTTTTAAGAGAGCATATCTCAAAATCACTAAGTTGTTTGGGGATGAGCTAAAACTTGTGATCCTCCTGCCTCATCCTCCCACAGTGCTGGGATTACACATGTATGCCACAAGACCTGGTGATTTTATAATTTTTTAAAGTCTTTAACCCATCTGTAATTAATACATATGGTATGGGCTGGGGATTTAGTTCAGTGGCACCATGCTTGCCTTACAAGCGCAAGGTCCCGAGAATAATCTCCTGTACCAACAACAAAAAAAATTAATACATATGGTATCAGGTGGGGACCAAAATATTTTGCATCCTCCTTTTCTTGTTAATTTATAATGCTACCTTATCATACACCAAGTTCTCTTATATGTTTAGGTCTGCTTCTAGGAAAAGAGAATGTATAACCAGAGAAAAAAAGCAAAATAAAGCCAGCATAGTAGCATACACCTGCAATCCCAGCACTCAGAAGGTGAAGGCAGGAGGATCACTTGAGTTTGAGACCAGCCAGGGCTACATAGTGAGTTCAAGGCCAACCTGAACTACTTAGCGAGACCCTGTCTCAACAAAACAAAACGGTTAAAAACAAAAAACCTCCCAGCAGTTGGGAGGCTGAGGCAAAAGGATTGCCATGAGTTTGAGGCTAGCCTGGGCTACATAGTGCGTTTGAGGCCAGCCTAAACTACAAGTGAGACCCTGCTTCAAAAAAATTAAAGGGCTGGTGGTGAGGAGCTAGGGAAGCAGCTTAGTGCAAAAGCCCTAAATTTAATCTCCCGTGTTCAAAAGTGAAAAAAGGCTAGCTAAACCTGTTCCAGCTTCCTGCCCACCCTGCAAACTACTTCCTCCCTTGCAGTCCCGGAGTACCCTCTCTAAATTTATAGAAGCACCAAAAAGAGCTCAAAAATAGCTGCATGAGGGCCAGGATTTAGCTCCGTGGGGCTACTGCCTGCCTCATAAGTATAAGGTCCTGAGTTTGATCCCTGATATCAAAAAGAGAAAGAAAGAAAGAAAGAGAGAGAGAGAGAGAGAGAGAGAAAGAAAAGAAACAAAGAAAGAAAGGGAAGGGAGGGGAAGGGGAAGGGAGGGGAGGGGAGGGAAGGGAAGGGAAGGAAGAGAGAAAGAAAGAAAGAAAGGAGAGAGAGAAAGAAAGAAAGAAAGGAGAGAGAGAAAGAAAGAAAGAAAGGAGAGAGAGAAAGAAAGAAACAAAGAAAGAAAGGGAAGGGAGGGGAAGGGGAAGGGAGGGGAGGGGAGGGAAGGGAAGGGAAGGGAAGGGAAGGGAAGGGAAGGGAAGGAAGAGAGAAAGAAAGAGCGAGCAAGATGCATGAGGGTTGGGGATTTAGTTCAATGGTTCCGCTGCCTGCCTCACAAGCACAAAGTCCCAAGTTCAATCCCTGGTACCAAAAAACAAACAAACAAACAAACAAAATATCTGCATGAAATTAAAGAGCAGTGGATTAAGACAGGAAGGATTTCTACTGCCTGGAATTTACCTGGAGTTTTGCTACCTCCTTCTTGAGTAGGAAGCTGACTTGGTCCCGGTCATTCCGAGAATAATAGAGACGGCACCAAGAAGGCTTCCCATCCCTGCCGGCCCGGCCAGATTCCTGGTAGTACCCAGCCATCGACTTGGCAATATTCCAGTGGGCAACAAACCTGTAGGGGCCGAAATGCCAAGTGCTATGAGATGCAGAAGAGCTGAGAGTGCTGAGTGCTGTGGAGGAGTGATTCTATGTCAGTACAGCAGGGGTTCTTCAGTGGCCAGGCACAGGGAGGCTAACACTCGGGGAGGGAGGGAGAAGACGCTGTACTAAGCTGGCTCTCACACCTGGGCCCATTGGCAGATCTGCCTGCCATGGAGCAACCCAGCCTCAAGGCCTCTGCAGGAGTTCAGGGGGCAATTCCAGCACATATGGAGAACCCAAAACCTTATAGCCAGGGGCCCAGTGGAATAAACACTAGACTTAAAGTCCATGCTACGGATGATGAACTTGAGATTCGGAGATGTACCTTTGTAGAAGGTCACACGGTAATAGGGCATTAAAGCTAGGATTTGAGCCTATGTGTGTCTGATTTCAAAGCTGACTCCTAACATGCCACAGCAGACCACAGTTCAACTGTGATTCCAAAGTCTGTACTCTTAGCTGGTCATGATGGTATATGTTTGTAATCCCAGCATTTAGGAGACTGAGACAGAAGGATCACCATGAGTTCAATGGCAACCTGAGCTACATAGTGAATTCAAAGCCAGCCTGACCTACACAGTGAGACTGCCCCCCCACCAAAAAAAAACCATCTGTATTCTTTCAAATGTAGTACACTAACACATTCCTACCTAGGGTCAGTACAAAGCATGACAAGACCATGTATGCAAGAGTGCTCTACAAATCATACAACACATTATTGTTAGATGTTAGGGAAAAGGGATTCATGCTGTGGCCCAAAATGTTTCCCATAAACTAGGTGTAGTGGTACACTCCTATAATCCCAGACTCGGGAGGCTGAGGCAGGAGAATCACTGTGAATTTGATGCCAGTCTGGCCTACATAGTGAGACCCTGTCTCCAAAAAACCAAGAGACAAGACCTGTCATGTAAAGGTACAAGATCCCAATAACGAATGTAATTGTACTGTATTCCTAAAATGTACCAATAAACTCAAGAAAAAAAAACAAGAGGCCCAGGGATTTTGCTCAGTGGCACTGCACCTGTCTCACAAACACAAGGACCTGAGTTCAATCCCCAGTACCAAAAAAAAAAAAAAGAAACCCAAAGACCTCAAATGTTTCCCAAAGGTTAGGCCATGGTTGGAAGTAAAAGACTTCTGGACAGTTGCCAAAGCAGGACTAGCAGGCTGGGATGAACCCTTACTTTTCTAGACTGTAGTAACAAAGACAACAGTAAGAAGATCTTTGCTGCCCCCTTTCTTTCTCGTTTCCTTTCTTTTACTGGGGGGGGGGCAGGGTCTTGCTATGCAGTTCAGGCTGGCCTTGAACTCACTGTGTAGCCCAGGCTGGCCTCAAACTTGTGCCAATCCTCCTGCCCCAGCAGCTCAAGTTCTGAAATTATAGGTGTGCACCACCATGTCCACCATGCAGAGCAATGCAGTGCAGTCACCTGAGAGCAGGAGCAGGCCACACAGAAACTGTCAGTGTTGGAGCTGTGAACTAAGGACCCTCTTCTGGAGCTTTCCTCTCCTCCAGCACTAGAAAGAGGACATGGTCCCCTGTGCAAAGCACTAGGCAGCCCTTGAGCCAGACCCCACCAGGAAAGTAAGGTAAGAACCAGAGCTCACCTGACATTGGCTTTGTCCACTCCCATCCCAAAACTGATGGTTGCAACAATTACAGGGACCTTCTCCTCCATCCACTCATTCTGCACCTGTGTCCTATCAGAAGCCTTCAGCCCTGGAAAAGAGGGGAAGGTGGAGAAGGGAACCTGTATTTCTCATGGGTTTACTCTCTGGAGTCGATATTAGGTTTGGTTTTGTTTAATCAGTACAGGGGTTCAAACTCAGGACCTCACGCTTGCAAGACAGGTGCAGCACCACTGAGCTAAATCCTCATCCCTTATATTAGGTTTGACATTGTACTGGGCACTTTACATGCACCCTGAGCCCATCTCTTCCCAGCTGTGTGGCCTTGGGCCAGGCACTTAACCTCATGGAGCCTCAGCTAATAGCCCGTGTGAGGCTCAGAGTAACAGTAAATGTTAGAGTGAAAGTCCATTAGCCTCCAAAGCCTGTACTCCTTCAACCTGTTGTTTGTTTTTTGTTTTTTGGTTTTTGGTTTTTTTAATAATACTTGGGTTTATAAAAACTCATCATCTCCTGTCAGTTGGGCACAGAGTAGGAAAAAGAATGCAGGAGTCGCAACTGTCATTTTAGCCCTCATTCATGTCTAGACTCCTTTTTGTTGATTTAAGTCAATCATTTTAGCTCTACATGAGGATCTGGCAAAAGATAATGGGCCACCTGATTATCCAGGCTCCATAAGAGACCACTAAGTGGCCTCCAAGAGTGAAAAAGACCATGTGGCCTTACCTGCGTGATAAGCCTTGGCATTCACACCCCTGCTGCTGAGCTCTATGGCCAGCTGTTCACAAGACTCTCTAGTTCTGCAGTAGACAATGCCACAGCCAGACAACTGAACAGGAAGACATGGGAAGAAAACAATCATGGAAACAAAGAATAATCAATCCACCACCACACCTTCTGTTTTAAAAGAAGCTCTGTGCTTTCTCTTGTCAACTTCCCAGTCTCCTCTGAGGCAGGTCACTCAGCAGAGCTCTGCCGCTTTATAAAAAGTAGGACCAAAGCAGCTTAAAATCTAACCTCTTTAACTCTTCTGCCTCCTCTCTGAAATCCCTGTGCAGGTCTGCAAAGGGCTCACATACAGAAACTGCCTGCTTGCCTTTTATGCAAGGATACAGGACAAAGGTATCCTAGTGAAGAGAACAATGCCAGGTAATGAAAGGGACAACTCCCTTTATGTACAAGTTTAGGAAGCCTGGCCAAGGAAGCTAAGAAAACTAAAGGTCTTAAAAAACCAGTATTAAGTTTATGCTGAAGAGTACCTTGGCCCCCCACCCAGCCTGAATGCCTTACCCCTTTATCAGTCTTCTGTCCAAGAGCTTTAAGGCAAAAGTCCCTCAGGTTTCCATAAGGATCAGAAATCAGTTCCTTGAACTGCACATCATAGAAGAGGTTGGACCGGAAGCAAGGAGTCTTGAAAGTGGCAACTGGTTGCTTCAGATGTAGCGAAGCAAACACATCCTCTTGGACCTGTGGGGTAGCTGTTGCAGTCAAAGCCACACACGGGGCATGTGCCAGGCGGGCGCGCAGGGCACCCAGACGCAAATAGTCAGGACGGAAGTCATGCCCCCACTGGGAAACACAATGAGCTTCATCCACCACCAAGTAAGAAAGCAAGTGGCGGGACACGAGGGAACTCAGAGTGGGCTGGAAGGAGGTAGAAGCTGCCATCTCTGGGGTGATGTACAGAAGCTTGGTCCGAGGCTTTTCTCGTTCTAGGTCAGAGAGCAGCTCCTTCCTCTCCTGCACTGACAGCTTCGAGTTCAGAGAACTCACTTGTACCTTCAGGGCCAAAAGGTGGTCCACCTGGTCCTGAAGACAGAAGAGAATGAGCCCAGAGAGGGGTATGATTTGGATCTCAAGACCCATTGATAAATGTCACTGCAACTCCCCAAGAGATTCCCCAGTCACAAAGCATCTCCTTCCCACCCTCTAACGTCTTCTCTGTATGGAAAGTGAAGCAGTTGAGAGGACAGGCTCTGGAATCAAACCTGGATCTACTCCTGGGTCACTTAACTGCCTTGTGCTTGGTGGTTGACTGGCTGGCTTTCTTTCTTTCTTCCTTTTCTTTTTTTTTTTGAGATGGAATCTCACTATGGAGTTCGGGCTGGCTTCGAGGCCTCGAACACGCAGCAATCCTCTGGCCTCAGCAGCCTGAGTGCTGGGACTACAGGCATGCACCACCACGCCCAGCATCCACTAGCTGTTTCTTAACTGAGACTTAGTTTTCTTACAATCTATTATAAAAACAGTAACTAACAGAATTGTGGTAAGAGTTCAAGGAAACTGCTCACTTTAGCAGCACATATACTAAAAAAGAGTTAAACGAAACTTTACATTTCAAAAATGAAATGAATGCATATAAAGCACTTTGCACAAAGATCTAAGATCTAGTTAGCGTTCACTACTACTGTTGTTCCCCGTGGATCTACCTTTTTTCCTGAAAATGGCTCTTAATCACATGGCCACACTTCCTCAATTCTGATTCTATAAGCCCATGTGGAGACACTAAATATAGGCAGGACATCTGCAGAGTAGATGTTAACAAGATCTCAAACAATTTCTCATCTTTCTGTCTCATGTACCTGCTCTCTTGCCAAAATAAAACATGTTGCCAGGGATTCTGCACATCAATTTAATGATCCATCCACTTGCATCTTCTAACACCTTGAGTGTAGATGTGTGTACACATAAAAGCAAGTGTGTGTATGTACAAATACTATTCCATACTCCTCTGAACAGAAAATAGCAGGGGATGGTGAGGAACCTCAGGTAATCAAAGCACAAAAGACTCCTTCACGAACTAGTGGAAATACCTGTATTTGGGCAATTCAGATATCTACCACAGAGGGTCATACAGATAAACCAGAGAAAATAAGAGGCATACCCAAATAAAGGAGACTAAAAAAAAAAAACCTTCCCATCATCTTTTGGGGCTATTATCTTCATTCCCTAAGCCTCACCTGAATCAAGGCAATGAGAGGAGAGACTACGATGGTGATGCCTTTGGCCAACAGTGCAGGTAGCTGATAGCAAAGGGATTTTCCAGCCCCTGTGGGCATACACACAAAGACATCCTTGTCACCTGCAAAAATACAAGAAGATAACATCTCATTCTTGCCTTTTCATTAAGGGTGCTAAAAATTAAATGAGAATGAGGGCCTGGATTTAGCTCAGCGGCACTGCACCTACCTTGCAAGGGCAAGGTCCTGAGTTCAATCCCCAGTACCAAATAAATAAATAACTATAAATAAATGAGAATGTAGGAAAAGCACTTGCAGTGTCCGGCACTTTAGAGGATTTCAATAGCATGTTAATTTCCTTCGCATCCTCTGCATGAAAATGGAAGGGATCCTGGGAGATTTAGAAATGTGTGCAAACTATTTCTGGTAATGGCAGTAAAAACAAGGGCGATTGAAATAGGCATGAAAGCAGAATACTGGTAGGGAGAGGGCACATCTCTGTAAACATGCAAGGACATCACTTAGAGGCCTTTGTTTATAAACATATTATTAATATTATACTAATTCTCCCTTCTGGACAACTTCCATTGGTCACCACATCTCTAGTTTGAAATATTATTTCTTTCCCTATCTGGGATCCAGGCCGCTCAATCTTCCTTAAGGGGATTACCTAAATTCAATGGCTAGGTTAAACTATTAACTGCCACCCCCACTACTGTCCATACAGAAATAAACAAAAATGGGAATCTAGGAACCATTTACAAAGACAATTTGTAGGTCTGACCATAAAAAAAACAGGGTAACTGAGTGGTTCTGCCACTAAAATAGCAAGGTTAGCCAGGCCTGATAGCACACACCTGTGATCCCAGCGCTCCAGGAGGCTCAGGTGAGAGAATCTCAAGTTCAAGCCCAGTTTGGGCAACTTGGCAACTTAGACCCAGTCTCAAAATAAAGAGATGTAGCTTAGTGAGAAGGACCTTGGTTCAACACCCAGCACCGAGAAGAAAAAAAGTGCAAGCTTTGGCTGACAAGTCTAAAAGATTTCCAAAACTAGTGTGGAACAAGAGTGAGAAGGTAGGAAGGATCAGAAAGAGGGTTTTCTGCTGCAGTGCTATGGTACAGCCAACAGAAATTCAAAGGCAGGGAATTTAATATTACCTTTTACTACAGCCATGGTCGCCCTCTCCTGTAAAGGCGTCTTAAAAGAGTCAAACCCAAAGACCTTCTTCAACGTGTTCCGGACTCGCCGCTCAGGGTCAGAGAGACTGGAGGAAGGGTGGGTGCTCATCTTAGGGAAAAGCAGTGGTCAAAGCAAAGGTGGTGAAAGATTGGCACGAGAACCTTGTTTTGTTTTTTAAATGCAGCTTAGTTTTTCTTCTGCAGGTATAAATCTTCTATATTGCACTTACAAAATATATTTTGTTTCAAGTAGTAAAGCGGCGGGCAAATTGCCTCAATCAATATATTCCTGAGTGATTAACACCTTCACTTTTACAGTCAGTGAAAATAAAAACACTGCGCTATCCAAACCCACAGCATGGCACAGTTGAAATCAGTCACGAGAAGAAACACAAATGTCTTCGGAATCCTTTGGAGAACGTGGAATCGTTTTTCTAAGGTCCAACTTCTATACTCGCAATCACGACAACCATTCATTTCCCCCGCCTGACCCTTAGGATCCCAACTCCTCCACTCTCCTTCCTCTTGAGTCCCAGATCCAGTTTTCTCCCTTCACCGTCAACGACTCCCTCTCTCGCCCCCAAAATATCAGAGCCGGCCGGGGGCCACCCAAGAACAAAGGGCTCTGGCCCAGCCGCTGCTGTCCCCTGGTTCTGCCACTACTCCAAGACCCCTACACAACACCCGGCACTCAGAAGCCACACCGCTGGGCTTCCCTGTCAGGGAAAAGCCATACAACCTTATATCCGTCGCGCGATGATGACGTTTGCAAAAGCGTGCAAGAGGGCGGGCCAAATTCAGAAACGGTCGTTTTGATTGGCTTCCAATCTGTCGCAAGGCCTCCTGAAAGCCGGAAGAAGTTGCCTTTCTGTACAGAGGTGAGCCTTGAGTCATAGGTGTGTGCCGCGCTGGGGCTGTGGGAATAAAATGGCGGGGAAGAAGAATGTTCTGTCGTCTCTGGCAGTTTATGCGGAAGATTCAGAGCCCGAGTCTGATGGTGAGGGTGGAGTTGAAGCTGTCGGCAGCGCGGCTGGTGAGGCTTTGAGTGGAAAGCTGGAAAGGGGAATCGGATCTGCCCAGAATAATACTCCCTTAGTGCCAGTGAAGAGATGTTCATTGTGTGAAGCCCCAGAACCCCGAAGTGCAGTCGTGGTCGTCCTGGCTTAGATATAGCATTAGAGAATTTGTAGTAAAATGAGAGTTGTGGACCAGGGATTTAGCTCAGTGGTGCCGCCGCCTGCCTCTCAAGGTCCCGAGTTCGATCCCCGGTATCCCCCACCAAAAAAAGAATGAGCATTCTCTCTGTGTTTCCGCTCAGAAACTTCTTGAGAAGTTATGCTGGGCAGAGGGATGGTATCCGCTGCTGCGACATCACTACCTATTCCCTTCTAGTTGTTTGACGAGGAAGAGAGATGAATAGAACGTATGTGATGGATGATAAAGTTTGTGTCTTGTTAAATTGATAACTTTTAATTTGGAATGTATGCTGAACACATCTTGGAGCTTCTGTCTGGTCCTTCCAAGTAATTTTGCAAATCTTGAATAGGATATGGGTATTTGTGAGTTATTTAGGCTCTTATTTGACCTTGTTACTTTGTAAATTTTTAAAACCTATCAGTAGCCAGGTGTGGTGCACGCCTGTAATCCCAACACTGAGGTGGGAGGACTACTGTGAGTTCCAGGCCAGCCTGGACTACAAAGTGAAACCTTGTCTCAAAGAAAACAAAAAACCATAATCTTGTTCCCTTCTTCAGACTGACAATATTAGAATGGAAAGAGATTTCTTTGGGATGATAGAGCACATTATCTAATGGATCTAGGTCTTGGGTTTCCTTACCCAAAACGTGAGGGTGTTCTGAACAAAAATGAGTAGTCTTTGTTTCATAGCAGAGGTAAGGTCATAGGTACCTATAATACAAGTTAGGGATGTGTGTGTGTGTCGAGGTGTTCAAGCAACATTCATTGATTATTCAAAGGAAAGGCTTTAGCTGGTGGACTGACGACCTCAGTTTTTGTTTTGTTTTGGTCGTCTCTTTTCAGTGCTGGGAATTGAACCCAGGACTTCATGGATGCTAGGCAAGTGCTCTAACACTGAACTACACTCCTAGCATTAGAAGCAGAATTAAATGTTAATTTTCTTTCCTGCCCCCACCCACCCAATACTGGGGATTGAAGCCAGGGCCTTCGCACTGAGCTATAGTCTCAGCCCGTTTTATTGTTTATTTTTTACATTTTAAGATAGGGTTTTGCTGTGTTGCCCAGACTGGGCTTGAATTTGCAGTCCTCCTGCCTCAGCTCCCAGAATGCTGCAGTTAGGTGTGCACAGCCACTCCCAGCTTCTCTGTTCTTCTAATAGCTTTATCCATGAAATGTGGCCTTCCAAAAGGCAGAATCTGGGCTTAAGGTCATTTACATAAGTTTTAGGTTAAGCTTTTATTTTCAGAAATACCCCTGGCTGTTCAAATCACTAGAAAGCTTTCTTAATTTTTGCTTCTTTTTTCCTCTGTTTCAGAAGAGAAAAGTGGATTGGTATCTGATGCCTATGGAGAAGATGACTTTTCTCGTCTAGGGGGTGATGAAGATGGTTATGAGGAAGAGGAAGATGAGAACAGCAAACAGTCGGTAGGTGAATTTCTCAAATCCAGAGCTGCTCAAAATGCCATTTCGTGTGTCAGAAGCTTTTTTAACTGGGCCAGCATCATTCCTTTTCATAACTAACTTCATCCCTCTCCCCCATTTGTTTAGGTTGAATGTCAATATTTCTACTGTATTTGAAAATTACATTTGCTTTCACCTGGATCATTTGTGTGACCTTTGGAATTGAAATTTGTGAGGCAAGATGGTGGACTATTTATTTAATTAGATATCAATGGGTGTTTTATGTTGGTTTTTCCCTGTTTAAATATTTTATTCCATTTGTAACTATATTCATCCTGATTGCTTTTCATGTATATCTGTTTTGTTGGGGGTACATTCAGAGAGGTAAGGAAGGAAAATTATTATTTTTTTCATCCACTTTAATCCTTCTTAACTTCATTCTTGACATTTTACTTGGCACTTTTATCAGAATCCCCGTAGTTCTTCCTTCGCTAATCTTCCCCTAAATTAAGTAAGTGCTAGGTAACCTCATAAAAAGAATTTGTGTTCTTATCAACAAGAAGGACTTAGGATACACAATTGCCTAAGCTTCAGGAGCCAGAAGTTTGAAGAAAAGCAGGAAAATTCACATTAGTGCTTAGCACAAACACATATAGATATGAACCTGGCTGTTTTGCAGCAGTTTTTTTGTTTTTGTTTTTTTGAGACAGGGTCTTGCTATGTATGTAGTTCAGTCTGACCTCAAATTCATGGTGGTCCACCTGCTTCAGCCTCCTGAGAAGTGGGTTTACAGATGGTCTCCACCAGTCCCCAGCTGCAACAGTTTTAGCTGAAACACTCACAAGGTATTTTATTTGTCTGAAGTTTTTGTTACATGTTAATACATAAACATTTGCATTAAACGCTTTCCAGATTAGGGCTCTGGGTAGAGCTCAGTGGTAGAGCTCTTTCCTAGCATGCACAAGGCACATAATTTCATCCCCAGCACCAAAGGGAATTGGGGGTGTTCCAAATTAAACAGCAACATTTTGGGGTTGTTTGTTTTTGGTACTGTGGGGTTGGACCCATGGTTCAGTGCACTGGCCCACTGAATGACATACCCAGCCCTTTTTTAAATTTTATTTTGAGACAGGGTCTCGGCCTCCTGAATGGCAAAAAGTACAAGCATGCCACTCTGAGCTCAGAAATGTATTTTGTGTTCTTTCATGAGATACTTTCATTCCTCTAGCCCTATCCTTTAATGCTGATAATTCAGACTGACTGAAATTCTATAGAAAAGCTTTGTAATTTCTTTTTCTGACTTTTCTCAGGTACATACATAACTGCTTGGGCCAGGGATTTAGCTCAGCGGTTCAGTGGCCTGCCTTGCAAGTGCAAGGACCCGAGTTCAATCCCCAGTACCAAAAAAAAAAAAAAAAAAAAAAAACCTTACATAACTGCTTGGATATCTATAATTTTTCTTTAATATATTTGCATAATGTGCTGTTTTGAAATGTTGGTTTGCTAGAATTTTCTTCATGTTGAAGCTTTTTGTTTGTTTTTCTGTTTTTTGAGATAAGGTCTCACTAGTTCATGCCAGCCTTGGAGTTGCAGCGTTCCATCTTCTTCAGCCCCCAGAATGCTGGGATTACAAGTGTGCGCCACCATGCCCACCTTTTATTTTAGTAAAATCCTCTCGTCATATCCCATATAGATATTCTGAAATGTAATTATATGCAGTTGAGCTCTATCTAATTATTTAGCTGGTTGATTTCACTTTAAAGTGATTATGGAGATTGCATCTCGCACCTTTATTTCACTAGCACCTTATAGGGCAGTTAAGTCTCAAAATCATTGGTATACTTTGTTCCTGTCTCTTTGACAGAGTTTATATTAACACCTGGAGTGCTACATCATGTTTGGGTTAAAGTGTAGCTTTGTTGAAAATAAGTTTCAAATGAAATCAGTTGTTCCTGGGCATTTAGTTAAAGGCTTCTTCACACTGGGAGTGTTGCAGGTGATGGAAGTGATGTGGGTTTAGCTATCTATGAGAGTAGATGGTCCAGCATCTGCTCCTGAACTTTGAACTTTCTTGCATAAGCATTTGTGTTCAGTGGAATGAGGGGCTCACTTCAGAGAATACCTTAGCCACATGGTACTTTGAGTCAGGCAGGCCTCATTTGGCTAAGGGACAGGCTGGGTAAAATGGATCAGTGGCAGTAATATGAGCACCCAGGTGGAGGCAGAACTCATTCAGTTGGGATCCAGGGAAAACTGCATTGCCCTGGAGTCCTGCCTTTCCTGGGTCACTTACTCTGGCCATTTGATGCCCTCCTCATTGTGTTCATGTCAGTGCCAATGCCACTGAGTTGAAGTGTGGATGTATATGAGTCACAGCACGGATGTTTTGAACAGTCAAAGGTAGGTCCAAGTCTGTTGTATTTGTGGGTATGAAAGGCACATAATTCTGGTACTAAATAGTTGATGTTTCAGTGGGAACACTCTCTCTGTTTTATCCTGTAGCCTGGTCTTCTTTTCTGAAGCAGATTGCATCTTCTCTCTGCTTTTGTGATTTTTACCTCTGGCTTTTTTATTGATGTGGACTGTGGTACCTCTGGAGTGACCATTGACTCTGAGCAGCTGGTGTTTTGTTTGTTTGTTTGTTTGTTTTTTCCTCAAAACATCTCCTTTCTCTCTTCTCTTTCTCTCATTCTGAGTCATGTGGTGTAGGGGAGGGATTCTTGGTGGGATAGCCTTGGCTGGATAAATGGCTATTTGCTCCAACCTCTTAGTTATGCATGTGAGACCTCTCAGGCCCACTCTTTAAGCTTAATCTAATTCTTTGTCTTGTAGGAAGATGACGATTCAGAGACTGAAAAACCTGAGACTGATGACCCAAAGGTATTTGGTGTTGGCTGTGGTGGGTGGCTGGATGTGAATAAGGTGTTTTAATGTTCTGGCTCAGTTCCTATGTCTAGTTAATATCTGTCCCACTAACATACTGTATGACCATTTCGACATTTTCTGGGGTAAAACACTTTATAGAGAGCTTGGAGACCCATAGGAATGAGTATGTCCTGAAGTAGATGGAATTTCCAGCCTTGCATATTATTCCAGGCTCTAGACTAAAAGGGCAAGATGCCTGTCATAGTCCCACACCCCATTCTTTTTCTACTGAACTTTGAACTTTATTGCATTAGCATTAGTGTTCAGTGGAATGGGGGGCTCACTTCAGAGGCCTTAGCCACATGGTACTTTGAGTCAGGCAGGCCTCATCCTAAACGGGGCTTGGCAGGGCACTGCTCCTGTGGATGGGTTAGATGTGGGGTTGTTTCTAGAATCAAGTAGGGGTAAAGGATGCCTTATGTAGTCTGGCTTCTCTAAATCATCTAGAAATAAGGAAGGACTCTAGTAGGATCAGGCCAACCAGAAGCCTCACCCCAGCTACTGGGGATCTTATGACCAATCTTTGTTTCCCCAGGGGTGTCGCCTTCCACTCTTGGGCAAACCATGCAGAATGGCTGTTAAAAAACAGCCATTTCTTTTTAGAAGTCCATCGTTGGCAGCCAAGAGTAATTAGTGGTGATTCTTATCACATTCCTTAATGATCCTATGGTGATGACCAATTATGATTGTTAAGCTGCTGTGCTATGTGCTGGGCATTGGAAACATATGCACCTTTTCAGGAATCGTTGTAAACCAACAAATATTTTTCCCACAGAGAAAAAGACTAAATTAATCACTCTATGGCAGAAGAATAGGGACCAAGTTTTGTAATAAAAAACTGCTTTGAAACCAGCTGAAGCCTTTTAGGTGATCTGGTGAAATTTAGGAAAATGATGTTTGGCTGTAATCTTGAAACAGTAGTCTCGTTATCCTTGGTGCTTGGTTCCAAGACACCATAGTCACATCTCCTATAGATACCAAAATCTGCATATGTGTACACCCTTTATATGAAAGGGCATAATATTTGCATATAACCTATGCACATCCTCCCATATACTTTTTTTTGTTTTTTTGTTTTTTGTTTTTTTTTTTGGTGATACCAGGGATTGAAAACAGGGTTTTCGCACCAAGCTGCATCCTTAGCCCTTTTTTATTTTTTGTTTTGAGACAGGGCCTTGCCAAATTGCCCCGGGTGAGCTTGAACTTGCAGTCCTCGTGTCTAGTCGCCCCGAAGTGCTGGGGTTCAGGCGTGTGCCACTATGCCTGACTCTTCCCATATATTTTACATCTCTTCTAGGTTACTTATAATATCTGGTAATACCTAGTACACTGTAGATGCTCTGCAAGTAATTGTTACACTGCATTATGTAGGGAATATTCAGGTAAAGATTTTTTTTTCCTTTGAGGTTTGTTACAGGTGATTGAACCCAAGGACTTTCTCTCTGAACTACCTTCCCAAGGCTTTTTTTTTTTTTTTAGCGATAGAGTCTTGTAAGTTGTCCAGACTCCACTCAAACTTGCAGTTCTTCTTAGCCTTCAGAGTACCGGGATTATAGTTGTTGGCCACCATGCTTGGCTACAATTTTTTTAAAAATATTTTCAACAGAGCCAGGGATTTAGCTCAGTGGTGCTGCCTCCTGCTTTGAAAACATAAGGTCCAGAGTTCAATCCCCAGAACCAAAAAAAAAAATTCAGCAGTTAGTTGAAACCATAGATGCAGAAACCATGTATATGAAGGGTTGATGGCATATCTGAACATACAATGTAAGCTTTTCCATGTCTGGACTGTTTTTGTGGTTTGGTATAGCTGGGTGCAGACATTCAAAGAAGTCCTTGAAAGGCTCTGGATGATTCAAAGAAGAACACATTTTATCTGGGCTGGGGATATAATTCAGTGGTGCCGTTGCTTGCCTTGCAAGTGCAAGAACCCAACTTTGATCCCCAGTACCAAAAAACAAAAAACACATTTTATCAAGACAGTAAGTTTTTTTTTTGTTGTTTTTTGTTTTTTTTTGGTACCGGGGATTGAACTTGGGTCCTTGTGCTTGCAAGGCAGGCCACCAAACCACTAAGCTAAATCCCCAGCCCAAGACAGTAAGTTTTAGAGATCGGCATAGTGGCACATACCTGAAATCCCACACTTTAGAGGCTGAGGCAGGAAGATCACAAATTTGAGTCCCATCTGGATAACTTAGCAAGACACTATCTCAAAAGGGTTAGGGATGTAGCTTAGTGTAGAGCACCACTGGGTTCAGTCCCCAGTGCCAGAAAGAGACAGACCAGACAGACAATGATTTATGTGGCGTTTTTTTGTTTCGTTTTGTTTTTGAGAAAAGGTCTCGCTTTGTAGTTCAGCTGGCTTTAAACTCACTGTGTAGCCCAGTCTGGCCTCGAACTCGTGGCAATCTGAAACAGAGAATGATTTGACACTAGCATGCAAGAGAAAGGAAATATGAACCCTAGGGCTGGAGATTTAACTCAGTAGTTCCACTGCCTGCCTCCCAAGCACAAGGTCCTGAGTTAAATCCCCAATACCAAAAATACCCCCAAAACAAAAAGAAAATATGGGGTGCTGCCGCCTGCCTCGCAAGCGCGAGGTCCCAAGTTTGATGTCCAGTACCAAAAAAAGAGAAAGAAAATATGAACCCAAGAAATTAAGTGCAAGCTATTTTCTGTGCAGAGTAAAAAATCCAGGCTTACAGACTTCCCAGATTTTCCTGGCAAGAGAGTATGGGCAGACCTGTGAGCCCCTTCAAACATGGTCCTACTCTACTCAGGTTCCAAAGGAAAACCATAGTACAGCAGTGGTGGTGATGGTAGTGGTGGTAGTGGTGGTAGTAGTAGTAGTCTTTTGTCATAAGATTTGGGATATATGGGGCCAGGGATGTAGCTCAGTGGCACCGTACCTGACTGGCAAGTGCAAGGTCCTGGGTTCGATCCCTGGTTCCACCAAAAAAAAAAAATGTTGGGATATAAGGACCTTAGAGCCTGCATGTAAAACAAGTCAAGTGGTAGGGCTTGAGTTGTGGAAATAAAGGAAGATTTGTGGGACCTAGAGCCTTCATGTGTACAGTTGTTGCTTTTGCTGAAGGCCACATGGAGGAGTTGTCTGGTGTGTTGGGTACATGTGCTTGACTGTCACCCCTTCTAGAGTGCTGTGATCCCAACAATGAATCCTAGAGGAAGGACAAGCATTTATGCAAGGGGACCCATGAAACACGTAGCAGGCTTTACCGTCTGTCTAGGAGCAGTTAATAAAAAATAGGGGGAAAACCTGAAAAGGCGGGCTGGAAAGGTTGTGAATGTGTCTTATGCTCATCCACCTCTTTCTCAGTCCTACAACAAGGCTGGAAAGACTTGTCATTCAGACTTGCCCCTTGGCCCATGTACTTTGCTGTTCCTCCTTCAGTCATTTGAATTTGAAGTCTTACTGTGCAAGGAAGTTTTCGTGTAATAATTTCTGTTCCTGTTGGGCAAGCCTCAGAAGTCAGACACAAAATCCAGACCTCAAAGTAACTAGACTTAGTTCTTTGGGAGGGTGATCAGAGGATTTAGACAGAGCCTACCAGTTTAGATGTCTTCTAATCCCTATGGATGCCAGAGGTCACCGTGGAGAGTCCCCATGGCCTTCCCCAGTGGCTGGAAGCAGTCCCCAGCATGAGTCTTCGATGGTTCCCCTGGCCCTGACATCCTCTTACCTGAGTTTACATCACAAAGTTCCACGTAGAAGCCTGTACCTACCTCAAATCCAGAACTTTTCTGGCACATTTAAGTTTTATTTTAACTAATTTTAAAAATTATTTTAAAGATTAAAATTCTTGTTTTTTTAAAACAGGGTCTCATGATGTATTTTAGGGTGGCCTTGAACTCAGTGTGTAGCCCAGGCTGGCCTTGAACTTACAGTGATTCTCCTGCCTCAGCTTTCCGAGTATTGGGATTACAGGTGTGCACCACCAGGCCCAGCTAAAGATTAAAATTATTAACCCTTAATTTGACTATTTCTGCCTTAAGTATATAAAATTTCTAACAATATGACGTGTTATTAGAGTAGGTCTTAGAGGTATCATTTATTTGGTTAGCAAATAAGTTGCTGTGGTAGCTTTTTTCAGCTAGGTGGCATTTTCCTTTCTGCTTTGTCTCTCCTTCCCCCTCTCCGCTGCTCCCCCAGTACTGGGGATTAAGCCTAGGTAGTAGGTCTTGTGCATGCTGGATAAGCACTGTACCACTGAGTTACATCCATGCCCTTTTTTATTTTAGTTTGAGACAGAGTCTCAGTAAACTGCCTAGGCTGGCTTTGAACTCATAATCCTCCCACCTTTTAGCTGGGTTACAGACAGGTGCCACTGTACCCAGCTTTCATTTACACAATTATAAATTGAAGATCTCAAAGAGCCTTTGTTCATATTGGTTTTTTCTATTAATATTTATTATCTTAGAAGTTAAAACTAAGAAAAATTTAAATTATTTATATGTATTTCTTTTTGTTTTGGTTTTGGTTTTGGTTCTGGGGATTGAACTCAGGTCCTTACGCTTGCAACGCAGGTGGTGGAATCACTCATCTAAATCCCCAGCCTTGTTTTCTTTTAATTTTGTTTTGGTACCAGGGATCGAACTCAGGACCTTTAACCACTGAGCTAAATCCACAGCCCCTGTTTTGTTGTTTTGAGACAGGGTCTCACTGTGTAATTCAGGTTAACCTTGAACTCCCTATGTAGGCTGCCCTCAAACTGATGGTGATCCTCCTGCCACAGCTTCACAAGTGCTGGGTTTAGAAGTAGGCGCCACCACACCCAGTAAAATTGTGTATGCTTATTTTAAAATAACAGAAGTTGGGCCAGGGATTTCACTCATTGGTGCCTGCCGCCTGCCTTGCAAGCACAAGGTCCCAAGTTCGATCCCCAGTACCAAAAAAATAATAACAAAAGTCAATCCATTATGTATTAACATAAATAACA